TAATTAAGATAAGCTAAAGTTAAAATCATGAGAAATTTTTGGTTGCTAATAAAGGCATTAAAGGAGTTGTAGCAGGGTAGAATAGAAAAATTCACAGTCCTGCTAGGATTTCGGTAATTTGAAGTAGGTGTTATTTCGTAGTCCACATAGCTACACCAAACAACAGTGTATAAAGATCACTTCATCAACTTGGTTTTGGATGATAGGCTTTGTCCTCTGGATAAACGCTTTGGCAACCATGCTTTCATTCGCGTTTCACTTCAGTTTTCTTCTTACGTCCGAATTTATCTTTTCTCCTCAGTTACAACCTCCTGTAGACTGACGGCATGAACGTGACGAATTAGGCCTTGTACACTGGCTTATAGGTCTATATAGTGTTCAAATTGTTGATACAGACAGCAGGTCCCCTTTTATTAGTATTTTTGAGCGTGAAACACAGACGTACAAAGTGTTTTAAAACGTTGAATTTTTATGCATAAAGCTATTCCACGCATTTGAGATTTGGGTGTTTATGAAAAAGCGCATAGTGTACAAATGTTTGCATCAGATTCACCTTTCAATTTAGCATAAACGATGAAAACTTACTACCCCAGTATTGAAAAACAAGGTGATTATCGCAATTCGGCAACTTAGTGGTTAGCAAAATAGAGATCGCGCTCAAAAAACCGAAAAAAAACTAATGGTTTCCTGTGTGACTAGGGTGCCTGACCATTTGACTGTTTCTTGTAAAAAGTGAAGCAATTACACATCACGAAACCACCTTTCGTAACAAAGTCTCACCAAAGTTTGAGTTAAATCCATCTACGATAGCGCTTTTTGTGATAGATATTTATGATGACAGTCCCAATACAATTAGACCTAGCAGATTATGTGTATAATTTGATACGTGCCGGTAATGATTCCATCAGACCTGTGATTTAGCGACTGCTTTTACAGGTTCCATAAAAAGCCATGAATCCTAGCGTGTCACAGCAATATCCTAATCCGCCATTGAAGATGAAACAACAAAGTTTATTTACAAATATATCTGATTAAAATTTGTTGAATAACAGATTCGCGTAAACTAATATAAATGCGAAAAAATGGAAATTATGATAGCATGCAGTTCCATATGAATTTGTTTATTGGATGTATCATAATGAGGAACTGTAATGTTAATGTGTTTTTTAAGATTTATTATCTTAATAAAACCTACTTGTACTTGACTAATTATGCAGTGCCTATGTCAATGTAGTTGAAGATTGAACGATCAATTCATGGTTGTTTGCTCAAAACCAACTTCCCCAATTTTCGCGGAGGCATCAATACGACAGCCGTCATCTCATCGGTCGCTGTTCAGAAAGAAGTCAGGAGACAACTGTCAGAAAACTTAGTTGTAACATTGTCTATATGTTGGTGTTACAATAAAGAATCCTCGAGTCGCCAATTGGTGTTTTGGTTTTTTCGTCCGTTATTACTAAGCGTTTCTGAGAAGCCTCGAGGAACAGCGTGAGCCCGAGTGCAGCAAGAGCTGGGCATTAACGGTTTACGAGACGTGGCTGACAGCCTACTACTTTTATGAAAGTATTCACCTCAGAATTACTTCCGCCAGTATGATGGAAGAAATCATTTTTCTAGTGAGAATTTTCGCAAAATAGTTTAAAAGTACCACCCATAAACCTGAATGCGTGGCAGACGACAGGTGTATTTTGGAAGGTGTCTGTCTCCTTGGTGTGTAAAACATGATATCGAAGCACTTATTCCTATGTCAAAAAGCAGAAAATATCTTTCCGCCCAAAAATATCTCCGGAATTTTCATACCTGACAGTGAAGTGTTCCTAGAAAGCTAGTTGTCTAACATGAGAAGTAAAGAACGGAGAGAATCACTTGTATGCGTCACCAAGGCAGTGAAATATAACCCCCGGGACAGTGATTTTGAAAGTGCATGAATTTGATAATCAATTATATCACAAGTATTCGTCTTTACTCCCTCACAGCATATCTAATACCGACATGAATGTACCTTTTGCCTGTAAATACATATAAAGTTTAGAACATGTTCAGAATAATACTTCAGCAATTAGCTATTCACACTCTTCTTTACCAAGCAGATGGAAAAACGTCTAGGAAGATTTAGAGAAAACAAGATTGTGCTGCATGAATGTGAAACAGAATTAGACTTGACGTTAGTGCAAGGATGTTGGGGAGTAAACAGTGAGAAATTATTTGGTAGTGAGCGTATACAAAATCTGATCTCACTATTATTCAAACCACACATGCCAATGAACAATTAGCAGGCGAAATCAAAAACTGTTTGGTCGTCCAAAATGCAGAGCACGTGTCCTGTTCAGCAGAGAAGCATGTTTAAATGACTAAAGAAAAGTCGAACGTGACAAGACAGTATCTCAAATAGTAAGAATACTTGACTGCATACATTCAGCTTAAACGGTCAACTCAAACTGTTTTATGCATTCTTCCGAATACCTATTAAAGTATTGATTATATTCTTAGCTTCCGGGTGGAACATAGGGCGTCAACAGAAATTTTTCAGCTTGTCATATTCTCTCGTGTCCTACTTAACCTGGGCCCATGATTGCACATAGTCTTCTTTGCACTAGTAAATAAACCAATTAATCCATCCTTATAACATCGAGCTTTATTTATGTTGTTCTTATAACCATAATCAAAGCAAATTTTTGTTTTTATTTCTTCATTTTCTCATAAGTGTAAATATCATTTAAGCTGTGTTATAACTGTTGATTTTGCCTTTCCTTTCACCATACTATATCAACGGAACATAAGATTTAATAACGTTTAACACGTTAAAATTTCCAAAATGAATCGACAGGTTGATTGGTTCTTGATTGGTTCGCTTTCAGAGTTTCCTGTCGATAATTGTTTTTGGCCATCTGATCTTCAACTTGCAGCCCGAGAAGGCAGCTATCGATAAAAGTCCTCAGTAGCCTGTCAGATGTGCTCCCCATGGCGTCCATTACAAGATTCTGACCCATTTAGGAGAACTCATTCAACATCAGTATTGAGTACAGGAGATTTCCGAGATGATTCTTGAGTGTTGGGGGTCTGTATTGCTTTATCGACTCTGGTTTCGATGTCCGTATTCGTTCCATTTATATTTGCTACGAAGCTTCCTAGATAAGTGAGGGAGGTGACCTATTGCAAATTGATTCCGTTAATAGTGAGTGATGCTCGTTGTCGTCGGTTGGTTATTTTCATTACCCGATTCTTCTCTGTGTTCACTTGAAGTCTCGTCTTTGCTGTCTACTTCTTCTATCAGCTTTTTGTTTTCCGCCTGCAAGTCTTCAACTTTGTATAACATTAGACATAAATCCTCCACACGCGAAATCCAGATCTTCTAGAGCCTTGTCATTGGTCCAGAGTATTCCTGTCTTCTCACTCTCGACAGTCCTCCACATAATGCAGTGCATCAAAATTAGGATATCAACGTTGGTGATAGTATGCAGCGTTGTCTTACTCTTGTCTTTACTCCAAAGGATTTGGTGAGTTCTCTCTTGTGGATTACCTGACAGATGTCATTGTGATATAGCCAGCTGTTGAGTGAGGTTCATAAAAAGTCAGCAAGTGCTAAAGTGTTGAAGTACTCTTCAAATTAATATGTGGTTAATTCTGTCTAAGGCCTGTTTAGATTCGATGAAAATGGACAAATTTAACTTTTGTTGATTCATGAAGTAAGGTGTTGTGGTTCACAATCCTCTCCTCTATACTCCTCCAATTGTCACAGGAAGATATACCTTGACCTGCGTGTTCTTTCATCATAAGACACGTCTCCATCCGCTGAGTCATAAATATCACACTTTTCGGGTGGAACGAAGACTTTGCATCATATCCTTAGCGGAGACATTTGTGCAACGAGAATACGACATACAGAATAGCAGCAAAAACTTGTTATCATTAGGTGGTTGGCCTCAGTATTCCGTAACTTAACAGTAGCTCTCCCTGATACAAACTAAGTAATTTATTTGTAAACGTCAGCTGATAACTCCTTATCAGGACTGAGTCAAAATATTAGCTTGAATACAAAACATAAGCGTTACTATCAGATGAAATGTTGTCTTTATCGACCTATTCATCATACATAAAGTGGGTGTGAGTGTATTGGAATTCTCAGAATATACAGAGTACTTATATCATGCAAATAAAATAGGCTATTTCTGACAGCTATTCAAAGCTAACAAGTGTAATAAATTTCTAACTTCCTTTCACTGCCGTCTATGGAACACCTTACCGACAGATGTAGCTATGGCGCCGTCTGTAGAGACCTTTAATCGAAGGCTGGACAATCATGCATCTACACGAGGACTGCGTCCAAATCGCCTACCCCCTTAAAATCCCATGCACCATTCATGGGTAGACAACTAAATTCATAGTTTTACTCCTTTACATTTTCTCCCATCTTATTCCCCTGACTACTCCAACTACTACTTGTATACTTGTAATTATTATTGATAGTATATACATATATATTTCAACTGTTTTAACGTTTTATTCATTTATTATTTTTAAGTCTTCATTACCTACACCAATTACATCTGTTATTATTATCTCTTTCCTTGTGACGACGATACCGGAGGACTAACTGTTGAAGGGGTCAACTGCATTCACAGTGGCAACAAAGTCATAACAAACTGCATACTGCAAACAACATATAATCAATCCCAGCACTACTCCTTTTGAAGTCAACTATATCTACAACAGTCGAGTGGCAGGACCAACTATACAGAAGTTTACCGAAGACCGGGAACCTTTACTTCACAATCAAGAAGCGAGCACAAAGAAATCACATTGGTTTATACTAGCTCATAAAAACGATATCGGATTGGAGTTCTCATCAATACGGAAAATATTTTCAAAAAAGCATCGCCAAACCAAATACAACCAACGTGCCAGACAAGTGTATCCTTTTATGTGTGTTCTATTTTTGTTTAAGTTATTAACCACATGTGGCTTTAGGTCGTTGCTAGGTGACTTCATTTTGGTTCGAAATGAGAGTTTACAAATTATACGAACTACGAAGATACTACAATACAGCATCGTCATTGGCTTTTGGCTTTGATACTGTCACAGTTCTTGCAATCACCGTCATCCCATGGATTATTTCTTATGTTACCTATGGTAGGGTATCGCCTTTGTATATACTTGACTTACAGACTTTTATGATGGCTCATATACTTACCAAGAAAGGCCTTCATTATCTTTCACCGGGAAAGTATTTTTATACTTGCAAAAAGAAGACGATTTTGTGTTTTACACAAATATTTTCAATCCGGAGTTATTCTCTGGCCTGCAGTCCAAGTACAGACTAACTCAAACAAGTTTCTACACTGAGAAAGACCCCATGACAGAAGAAGACATTGCTTTTCACAGTGTCATAAAAGCACCTCTTCTTTCCACAGAGAAAGTAGTGGGCTTCACCATCATTCTTTTATTCGACATTACTTCGTGGGTATATAAATAACCTCCTAAACTATTTTCTGATAGCGTTTTCACAATAAACGAACCGAGGTTCCTTTGATTATTAGTAAATCTTTTCGCTCATATGTCACTTCAATAACCTATTCAGGAGACCTTGTTTGGTCAGAAACTTGCATGAAGTCTAATGTAATCGTAGGTGGTATATGCTAAGTTTAACCATTGTTTAGACTAGAGCTAGCTATAAAAGTAAAAATATTCCAAGGCAGATCACTGACATATACTCAAACCTTACACATGGCGGTAAGTTCAGGATATTTATACAGTATAATAGTTTTATATATTAGAACTCTGTATGCTAGAAGATAGAATATATGTCCCAACAATCAGAAGTAGTTTTTCAGGAGGATTTGAACTGGATTCTACCATACGTTTCTCTTCCTTAAGGATCAGGTCAGTTTAAAAAATTCTTTGCGTGTTATCTAAATGCGATTTGTTCATAGCTAAAGATATTAGTGTGGTTATGATAATTTATTCCACACTTACATTATCCATATATATATATATATATATATATATATATATATATATATATATATATATATTATGATCTATTATTTTGATTATACCTTGATTCCACACCGTATTTTTGGTACAAGTGTGGAATTTTTAACAGGTTATATAGGTAGCCCAAATTTCGCAGACCGACCATTTATATCAGGTGTGCGTCGGCAGGGGATCGAACCCGTATCATGTGCATGTTCGGCGAGAGTCCTAACCGCTGTGCCACAGACGCATTTGTATATGAGTTCTAGTTTTACCTAAATAACTGAAATATTTCGAAATATGGCTTTGGAACGGAAATACTGAGAGTGAATGTGTACACATGTTATCTAAACCCATTTACTGAAATTCACCATCAGTGTCAACGGATAAAATATTATTGGCCTGCAGATTTTTCTGTATATCACGAAAGTCGATCCGTGGATTTATCAGTCTAAATCGCCTGTGAAAAAGGCATTTCATGTTTCACTGATCAGCATTTTCACACTTCTATTTCAGTGAAAATCCTGGATTTTGGTATATCATCAAATTTGCTTGGGTTCAGTATTTACTGGTAGCACTAGCCTTCTTCTGTTTTGCTGAAAAAATGCGTGCATTTGTGTATAACAAACAGATAGTAAGAACAGCAGTACATTCAACAATTTCAAAATCGATGGAAACATATGAATAATAAATATTCTGCAATAAAATCTATTCGAATTGGGATGAACATTGCTTTTAATTTTTGAATAAACTCTTTGTAATTACTTTCGCATTTGTTTATCTTGATATGTTATTACGATTTTTAGGTGTCCCGGTCTTTTTATAATGCTCGAAATCTATCTCTGTGAAACCCTGCTTCTAAAAGACTTTCTATTTAGTTACATTCACAATTTAAAGATATTTAAGATAATTGTTGGGGAATCTATATTCTTTGGTGTCCTTAAGTGGTTTGGCTTAAAATTAGTGGGATTGTTCATAGTCCACGATCTAAACATTTCGCTTGTTGAGTTTATTGATTCGGTAGCTGGCCCATTATTTTTAAACTGCATGGATAATTTAGGAGAGACCTTTCCTATCAGAGACCTTTTAATTGCTTAATTCAATGTTTGATGAACCTCTGTTAATAAATAGCGACATTTTGCTTCCGAATCCTTTAGAATTTCGAAAATATTTTGAGTTAATTAGGTGTCTGCCTAGGGCAGCATGTACAATATGTTTATTAATGCTGAATATTATTCCATAGAGGACACTAATATTGCCCATTTTACGCAAAGGTGTTGAGTTTTGCATATGGCTTAGTAAAACAGAATTTTTATTATATGCGCAATCTTATAATTTTTAACTTCTCAGACCCACTTTATATGCATCAAAAGTCACCACATATGTGCCTGTGGTGAAGCCTGAAATTTTATCGTAGACTAGGTATGTTTTCAAAGCAAATTTATGGAAATGTTCGTTATGTTGAAGGAAACAGTCACACTAAGGCATCTGTTTTTACTAGTCTTTCACAACAAGGGAGTTATTCTTGTAGCGGAAAATTTCGAAAAAGTGCTGCATAAGTTACAGTCGCAGACAATTATAGTTGCGAAATCAAGGTGAATGTCTGTAGGTTTATTGATCAGCAAACTATTAACTAGCGTTTGAAGCAGCAACACTGTAACAACAATCAAGCCACTGGTCTGGAGCATTGATAAGTTATAGTTACAAAGATCTTCAATACTCCGGAAAACAGAAAACTGTTGTTCAATGTGAAGACAGCGGTTATTATTCTAGGATAGAAACTTTAGGAGATAACTATTTTCTGAAAGGTCCTAACCACTTAATTTTACATAATGAAGCAGAAAATCGCTTTATTTCCACGATATATAGTGGTGATTTGTCGGAAAATAATGCCAATTGAAAATTCAATCAGAAGTGTATAATACCGTTAAGATAACAGTTGAATCTATACAATTCTTTATAATTCAACTAGGATGAACTTCACCAGAGTAAGCAAAGTACTTTCCAGTGAATAAAAAATCTGTAGAGCCAAATAGAATATTCTAAACATTGCGAAATATGTCACTGTATAACAGTTGAAATTACTGGATATATACTGACCTGTAATCAGAAGTTTATGTCTGCTGACTCACGGAATCTGTATTGCATCATCGAGGTTAACTTCTGCTCTTTACATGACTAACAGAAACTGTCATTTGCTTTATGGATCGGTGCATTGTTAAGTCTGAGCATGTGTAACGTCTTTCCGGCCTAATTCGACTTCACCAAACACCACTTGTCAAGGAAGAGATAGCTTTACATACATAACACATCCACAAGACTATCACACAACAAAGAATCACAATATCATCGACCGACTTGTCTTTTTAATCAACCTCATCTCCATTCATTATGGTGTTGCACCTAACGCAAGTAAATGAACAGAAATTATAATAGTTGGGATCCTAATCTTTATACATCTATTTTCAATGTCCATATTTCATGACTGTCAAGTAGGACGAGATAAATTTTGTGAGAAATCTATAAACCTTCTGACGAGAAATGCGAAATTAAACTGGTGCCAAAGATGAGACTGGGCTAGTTATCTGTATTCATCAGTGATGCGTCTATTTTAGTATCCAGATTTTTTAAATAAGTGGAATATGACAAAATATTTAACCACTCAATTTCCTACCCTTGAATAAAGAAAAAAAGCACATCAGTCTTATGGTATCACCTTACGCATCGTGGAAGCAGATTCAAAGGGAAACAAAGTCAGATTTTCATTTATAATCTTCATCTCCTCTACCTAAAAGCACTACATCGTCTTTGTAGCCCAAGTCATAGAATATTTGTCATGCAGCACGTCAACTTATGAGGTGTCAAAGGTAAATAGCCTTAATTTCATTAGTATATCTACAATTAATCCAAATTAGCAGAACGATTCTGAACACCCCTTGTTGTCAACACTTCGGATGAAAAATCTCTGTAAACTCTTTAACCGCAGCAAGACGAACTAACATTATGACAGTACCTGCTCTTAGACTTACCATTATTTGGTTGATCGCCCTGGCACAGAAAAATCTCCAAGAACGCTAGTTACCATAGGTCGTTGTGTTATTTTGAATCGCATGCTCGCCTACCACCTAAATACAAAAGCACCAGCTGCGTATTTTATGATTTAAATCTGATACATGTGATGAGAAAAAAACAGACCATCCTTCGGTGCATTCTGACTCGAATGTCCTAACGCGAACACAAACCAGTACATTATCTGTCACGCCAAAATGACATTCAGTAATAAGTACCCTTCCTGGCTTCATTTTGTTGGCAAACTATTAACAAGGTATAAACATACTATAGTGGGGATTTCTACAAATTTTGAGAAACATGTTACTTTTTAGAGGTGGATGGGTGAATGGATAGACGTATTGCCACGAAGAATGTGAAATAGTGTAAATGTGTAAAATTTCATACATCACGGCAACACAAAACGTTGAAGTGGAACTCGTAAGAATCAACAAGACTAAGAATAAATCCACTTTGATGATACAGGCATAAATAGAGTGTCTATAGATCTTTCTACTGTGTAAAGTCTTCAAGCTTAAACTAGACATTCCAATCAACTGTCTTCGAATTCTTAATGCCAAAATCATTGTAGTTCACCATTAGACTAATTATTGTTCAAAATTCATCAATAAAAGACTTTTGAATTTGCTAAGGAACTAGACTACAGTAGTTATTGTCGAATAATCCTCCACAAAAACACTATCACACCAAGTTACCACCTTAAAAGTACTTTACAACCACTTAAGAGATTGTAGCAGCTGCAAATTTTCAATACTTCCAGATACTCAGGATGTCAGAAAATTTAGTTCCTTTGAAAAGTAATGGTAAATTTTCATAAGTTTACGATATCACTCATTTCATAATGACTGAAAAAACCTGTAAACCAGGTGAGTACAACGTGTCCTTGAAGGTAATAAGATGAAAAATCAAGTGTTACAATCTTTATACTGGTCAGCTGACAGATATCTGATACATTAATGGCATAGTGCCACGTAGTAAAGTTACTGCTCAAAAATGAAGAAAATAAGTCTGAAAGTGAAGTTGGACAGACTTGTGCAAAGGAGATTAACTTCTGCATCATATTCAAGGAATCTGGACCCATGACAAAACTGAATACACCAATTACTAGGATTTCCTTATATTATGCATCTAACTAACATCGTTGAGAACAAAATCGTATGACATTTTTTAGTTTTCGCTAGCTGCTTGTTCAGTTCAGTCTTATCTGTACTTTGAATATATTAGCACGAGTCAGCTTGGAAAATTCTCTAGAGAATTATTATACTAAAAATTCACTAGATTCACTCAGACCAGAGTAAAAGCGAATGAATACTCAAACCAGTCTTTTGCACAACGAATTATGACAAAAAATTCATCCAGTTTTACTGTAGGCAACTATCTAGAAAAAAAGTACACAGCTAGGTCAATTAAAATGAAAACAACGACTAGTCAACTCATTTGTGGAAAATTCGATTGACTACAATATTGTCTTATTTCAGTGTGGGACGCTAAGTGGTTAAAACAATTTAATTTGACTAGAATCTTATTTTTTATTTATCAAATTTAATGTGGAGAACTAAGAGTTATAATGCTGTGAGCAGAAATAATCTGCATAAGATGTGCGTCAAATACATTGCCATTAACACAAAAATCTAATTATGAAACAATTCATCAAAAGTAACCTAAAAACTGCACAACCATCTCATCAAGTAGTTCCTAAACAATGTTTTACTATACACTGTTTGCGGAATTAGTTATACTGTCTGGCTGTAAAAATGAAAGGTTCGGTGAGAAGGAAGGAGAGAAAGTCTTCTAAATTCCACTCGGTGTAGTACCAGACCATCGTTCAATAAACTGTTTAACATCTGAGCACTCCACTGTCCGACTAACTTTAGTTATATACAAAAATTTGCTCCAGTTTGCTTTGATTGCGGTCCTCTTAGACGGTTCGAAAGTAACACCGTCACGTAAAACAGGATAACCGGTAATGATACATGGTAAGGCCGATAGACCAGTACTCGACGAGTTTAGAGTAGCTACATAAACGCCTCTCTCGTCTTTTGGTAATGATTGGTCGAGTTTTTGATCCATTGAAACAGCTAATATCCATTCACGGATTGCTTCATGTTCTTCGTTTGTTGTGTAAGCTTGTTCAGGAATAGGAACTTCCATAGGTATATCAGTGCCCTGAAATTTGTATGCAAAAACCAAATAAAACGACGAAAGAAAACAGACATCATGAAACCGGTGTCTTTTGGTGCTAATCAAGTTCTGTGTAAACATGAAAGTTTCACAGCACTGTTTCACTACTCATTTATTTAACTTATATGGAACGTAAATTTTGCTATGGCTACCACTTCATCTAGATGCAGACAAACCAGAGGTGATTAATACTGATTCTTGTGAGAATTAAGAAATTGACGTTAGTTGGATAGAGTCAGTTAACAGGAAGCCTTAAGATCACTTTAGTAAGTTAACAGTGATGATCTTGCCAACTGATTCTAACTGCCCAAAAATCAGTTTACAGTGTACTACTATGCAAAGTCACCTAACATGGTGACAACATTGCAAACCTGACTGATACAATTCAGTCAGCACTAAGGACTAAATACATAACATCAGCTGTATCCTAGTGACCAGTCAATGAATTCATAAATCACCCATCATTAGACTTAGGTGTCATGTCGTAAATAGATTTCAATGGAGTCAACGTACTCAAACTTCATTTTTCTATAAATGACAATTTGCTGTATATATTTTTTCCACAGATACTGATAGCATTCTTTGTTCACATGTTGTCATGAAAATATGTCATTTGCAGCAAAACGATGTTTAAAGTTCATTCAACTAAATTAATGCCAATATGCTAGATCACCCCTTAAGTAGTCCCATCAATGTACTCGTCTCTGTTGAAATTATCTAGGTTCAGACTAGTGTAAAAATGATGAATTCATATGGTGATCATATGAAATCTGATACAAACCATTAAGAATGAAATAAGATTAAGACTAAATCAGCAACTAGATTTCTTAGCTCATCTGGGTCAACAGCCAACAGGTAACTGACTTACTGTAGACGGATTCTTTAATTTATGGACTTTTACTCCTAACCCAACAATCTAACCCTCCCTTCACCTATTTGATTCAACTAAGATGTCGTTATAAAACTAGCTTACCTGAAAATCTGTACTATCTAAAGTATCTGATGAGCTTTCAGGGTCTTCAATAGCTTCAACAAGATCAAGGTAACGATTTAAAAAGACGAATGCCATATTATCCCATCCTATATCGCGACAGTCAACTCCAGCTTCATAGAACACTTTATCTGCAGGCAGTATATCAGAGTGTCGAAGAAGTGATACGCTAATCTGTGTGACAATCTAAAGAGAAGCAGAATAGAAAAATTGAAGTAAACGAGAAAAAATAATTCATGTTTTATTTATTTTTATTTATTTATTTTTTTATTTTGGTTACAGCTTGATTCCACACTGTATTTTGGCACAAGTATGGAATTTTCAGCATGGATATCGGTAGCCCAAATTTCCCAGGCCGACCATAGATATCAGGTGTGCGTCGGCAGGGGATCGAACCTCGGACCATGTGCATGGTCGGCGAGAGTCCTAACCACTGTGCCACCGACGCACAGTTATTATTATGCACCGAATTTTGCGTGTTTCACAGATTAAAATACTACAAGAACGGGGGCAATAAATAAATGCAGAAGAGTAAAACAATCTAAAACAACGACCTACAAGCTTAGTAAAGCAGGAAAATGATCTAAACGCATGCATTTTATGAATTAGTTTGTATACAAGAAGCTACAATGAACCGGTTAATTACTAGTAAAATAAGGTAACTTTATCTTTTGCCTCAGGTGTAATCACAAAGCCGAAGGGAAATAATGAAACTGCTCCATACTCCCAAAATCTTGGCACGCAGTTTATCTCCTCTTACTTTTCCATTTTTTATCTCATGTCATTTGCAAACAGGTCCTTAGTGTTACGCATATCTGGTGAATTTTACCACTTCAAGCTTTTTCTCAACCATCACGATCTCCATATAACAAAGAATCATTTTTTCTTTAATTTGAGTATATTCCCTCATTCAGTTTCTTTTAATTCCGCTAATTATTGTAACATTTTTAATTGCATATTACGCGATGCATCCTGAATTCCCTGTGCAAAAATGATTAATGCTGCGTATTACATGTGTATAGCCAGTTTTCAATATATCAAAAGTACTCAATGAGACATTCTGTTTCCCTGCATTCCTTGGTCGTCTTATTTTCGGAGGTCATTTTGTGTATTAAGCAACGTTAGTTTACACTGGGAAGAGAATTATGCTAGACGGGAACGGTGACAAGATAGGAGGCCTTGTGGAAGTTCTGCATTCGAATATACTCGGTGTCTACTTGAAATCTGTCAGGTTTTTGATGTGGTTTCTGGATGATTTGACTAAGAACCTTTTGATATCTTTCCAGACAAGATCAATAGCGTACTTGTTTGAATTCTGCACGAATAATTTGATTTTCTTTCCTGAGAACATTTCCCATGATTGGTTGTTAATTTGCATCAGTATTTTTTTTTATTTTTTTTTTGATTACAGCTTGATTCCACATGTATTTTTGGTACAAGTATGGAATTTTCAGCGTGGATATCGGTAGCCCAAATTTCCAGGCCGACCATAGATATCAGGTGTGCGTCGGCGTGGGCTTGAACCCCGGACCATGTGCATGGTCGGCGAGAGTCCTAACCACTGTGCCACCGACGCACCGTTTTTATTGACTTGGGATTTGATGTTTTTCGTCACGTGAGTTATTCATTTTTAGTTGATGAATTTAACTTGTAGTAATGTGTTTATTAATCCCTAATTCGACTGCGAACCAGGCTTCAAGGAATGCCCTGGAATTTGTGGCACGGTTTAAAATCTCTACATTTCCTCAGTTAAATGCTAGTCCATAAGTGTTCATATGTATTGACATGAAAGAATGCATATCGTAAATTTTTACAGATAGTTTATATTCTTGGATTTACAGCGGAAGGAGATGTCCACTTCGACCAATATAGTTCTTATCACTGTCCATGCAATTTATTTTTTAGAAATATTGACCCTATCTTTTTTGTTAAATGCTATGTAGTCTCACAGGATTGATCTATTTCTCCTGCTTATTCACAAGCAGAAATCAAAGTTTCCGAATGTGATAAACCCTCCCTCCATATGGTATGGAATTTTCATCAATATGAGTACAGGAAGTTCTCTTACTTGCATCACCTATGTTGCCGATATGATATCGTAACATACTAAGCAACAACCCTTTCTCTACATTTGTGGGGAAAGACGACTACAGGTGAAGACATACGGAATCCATAAATTTTTATTTAGTACTGTCTGTTAATGAAATGCTCGAGTGTTGCAGAATAATGAAGCGAATATTGTTGTGATTAGACTAAAGGTCCTAGGGGGGGGGGAAGACAACTCGGTAGACATTATTATGAGTCTTCACTTATTGAAGTTGCTGTAGTAAACAGTGAGTAAATCGTACCACACCTTACTTGATAGCAAACAGTAACTGAAATAGAGAGAGGCTGGAGGTAAGCTGGGAATGTTATGAAAATAGGATGCTAGATCATCAAGTCATTGGCTATTATTATGGACTTGTAGGAGGATGTATTTCGTACAAAAGAACCGCTTGGGTTTTATGAGCTAGTGGTTACCGACTTTCATATATGACCGACATACAATTAAAGTGAAGTAGACAAGTCCCTTATTTTTTTATTCCCTTACGTTCCTAGTAGAACATAGAGCTTCAAGTTTCGGTAGCAGTGGTGTCTTATTTTTATTTTACGGGATGGGGTTACTAGCCTCATGCCAGTCTTACTGCTGGCTTAGTGAGTTGAAGGAGTGCGTCGGCAGGAGATCGATCCCCGGACCACATGCGTGGTCGGCAAGCATTCTACCGATGTGTCGACGACCCACGTGTCCCTTATGTATAACATCATAAACTTTATATATGTTCAGTAACATTCATTTGGCTTTCTGTCATACCGAATGGACTGAATTATAGCTTCGTAATCACTGATACCTAGCAGCAAAGCGTATTGGCAACGGTAGTGAAATTAATGTCACCCGTAGATACTTGAATGCCGTCATCAATGACTTTTTGTAGAACTGTATTCATCACTCAAGAAAACGTCTTTTCCGTTAAGCTTTGGATAATCTTATTAGATCACTAATATTTTATGACAGTGTGAGGGACAAGTCTCCATTTTGGTCATCATCAATTCACTTCCCCTTGAGGAGGTATTAGTACAGGTCACACAAAAAGTTTACTTTCGTGACACAGATCACCTCCCTACACAATATTCTTATCAAGAGTTTAGTCGGAGGCTGTCGCTAGCTAAATTTTGAATATCTGAAAATTAAGGTCACACAGATTAACTGAAGTGCCCTATTGAGATTATTTACAAAACTTTGCCAAAAAGATTACAAATTAGGTTTCTAAATGCATGCATGTTAGATTGGCTTGCTTATTAATGTAAAAGTAACCAGACATCAGAGAGGAACAGTAAGATAAAGAAAAGTAATGTAATGAAACTACAATGGACAGAATACGTGGAAGAAAAAATAAGCCAGATTTGTGACGACTCTTGGAATATGGAAGGTGATGAGGAGTAGTAATAGTGGGCATCTCTGACGGACAACACCATTTTTGGTCACTACAGCTGGTAGCTGTTCATAAGTACTACCATGGATGCCTAAGTGTGACTAGAATGCTCACATTAGTGCTATGTACTTCCGTGACACTCCTTTCACAACCAGATATTGTAACAACACCTCTATGTTGGAGTCATACGCTGCTTTCAGGGTGAGAAATATGACGTGTTGGGTGCCGGTAAGTATACATATATTCTGAAATCTGCTGAAGGGTGCACATATTATCAATACATCTTCGTCGCGACCTTAGACGTGTCCCTGGTTATTTTCTGCCGACAACCGCTTAGTCTACACATGATTATTGAACCCACAATTTTAAATACCGTGTAGGTTAAGCTAATATCCCTATGGTTATCTAAGGAGGACTTGACTGTCTTCTTATGCACTGGAATAATCAGTGGATTTTACTTATCTCTTATTAACACACATTAAATTATTTACTAGTTAACTAAAATAATAGTTCATCACCACTGTACTTAAACACTTTATACTCATACCATTACTTCCTCCCTGCTTTGCGTCGTTTTAGACTGGAGAAAGCTGTCGTAACCTCAAATGAATTTCAAGGACTGAGGTCTACATCTAATTCAGGTATGTGTTAGCTGTCAGGAGACTTTCGTGAAGCGGTAGGCCAGTTGAACGGCAACTCAGAATGTTGCCACCCAACGTTCCAGTCGTTTCTGTTAAGAAGAAACTGATATTTCGTCTTTTTCAAGAATCATTTCACTTGTTAAAAGCTTTTAAAACTTTCCTTAGTGAGCCTAAATAGTTATTAGCTGTTGCCAGTTTCTGATGCCCTTTCCACCTCCTTCAGTTTCATTGCTTATTATCAATTATTAGATAATTTCTTCTTCATCACTGAGCATGTGATTTTGGTTAACATTTGACAATGTGAAATAGAATGTTCAAATACATACGTTATTCTGTTGCTAATCCAGTACTGAAGTGTGGGAATATGTAAGAATAATAATCCGTTGGAACACACTGTCTGTATCACCCCACCACAAGATGACTTCCCATCATTATCCAACAATGGACTATTACTTTATACACATACTCATAAAATTAATCATCTATTAAAACCTGAATCTGAGTTGAATATTATGAAAGAAACGTATTGAGATGAGAATCTGACAGTGAGTTTAATGTAGGCGATAGGAATGCAAACTTTGTTCACCAAACTAATCAAATGTAAAGATGATTTACCTCCAAAACGTCTTCCCTCTCATTTCCCTTCTAACGACAATCTGTTACCTTATACTTATAGGTAAGTAACAAACTTCAATGTATAGACAGGTAAGAAACTTAAAACAGTCTTTATAGAGTTTGATCATTGTTTTTTAATAATGATCTGAAAATTTTTCATAACGGAGCTTTGCCTAAAAGAATCAAATAGATAAGTTAATTTCGCCCTGTTCAAGTTCCCTTTCGTCTGAGTAATACAGAATCGGATTTATGCACATGTCGAAGTACAACCAAGCGGTAATACTAAACAAGAAAAGATTTACTGAATTCAAGAAATTTCAGTAGAACGCATCAGCTAAATATCCTGCATCCCACTCTGACTGTACATCAATTTTGGTGTTTTAGTGGAAGCAAATATATAGGTCGTACAGATGGGCATCTGTCTGCTCTCCTGACCAGACGCCTTTAAAAATGGTTAAAACAGGCGAAAGCAATAATGATCAAACATCGCCAAAGCTACGAATATGAAAGTATCCTTAACTGAACTTAACGACTTAGGAATTGACTTGTTACCGGGGAATAGTCTTATGGACTTAGAATATGCAGATGACATAGCCCTGTTAGGGGAGGATGCTGACAAAATCCAGCAGAGTCCTCTGAACACCTTGAGCAGCAATCTTCGTATGTTTGGCATGCGATTCGCCGCTGCAAAACGTAAGATGCTGCTACAGGACTGGACTACGTCAACTCCTAGCTTAGTGATAGGGAGTGAAGTGATAGAACATGTTGACCACTTCACTTATTTGGGAAGTTGTATCAGCACCGACGGACTGATTGGCGACGAAATCTCAGCACGGATCCGAAAAGCTCGAGCTGCTTTCGCTGACTTACATCATCTCTGGCGTAGGCGTGACATCCGGCTATCAACCAAGGGACGTGTGTACTGCTCAGCAATTCGCTCCGTACTTCTCTATGGCTCTGAAACATGGCCAATACGAGTTGAAGACATGAAAAGGTTGACTGTTTTTGATCACAGATGTCTACGATCTCTTTCTCACGTCAGGTGGTATAATAAGGTAAGTAATGCTGACGTTAGGCGTAGAGTGTTGGGCAAACAGGAAAAATCAATCGACGAGGCTATAAAGTTACATAGATTGAGATGGCTAGGTCACGTGGTGCGTGTGCCTAACCATCACCTCCCCCGACGGGCATTACTAGCTAATATAGGTGGTCCAGGTTGGAAAAGAGTAAGTGGTGGCCAAACAAAAACACATGGCATCAATCCATGAGATCCTTGACAGTTAAACTGAGTCAGGTAGGGAGATGCAGACTGCCGGGTTGGGGCCCTCGGGACTGGCTCTAAGAATCAATGGCTGGAGACAATAGGTGACATGGCTCAAAATCGTTGTCAATGGCCAGCGCAGATGTATTCAGTCTCTGTAATCTTTCATATTTCTTTCTACCATTACCCATTCTGTTTCACTCTTATACTTGTCAAACTCTATTGATTCTCTTCACTCATCTTCTTGTCTACCTTTGTGTTCTATTTGGAACATGGCAACTCGAACTGCTGCACTTCGGTGCCAAGTTCTGTGTTGAATCCAGACAGACAGACAAATATGATGTGGATAAAAATAAGTCAGTCACCATTATCTGTAGACAAACAAGGAGAAGAATACTTGCGACTGCAGAGACTTGCGCTATTTGGATCAGTAAGCCCAATTTCTCTATATAAAAAGATTTAATGGTCACTTTGAATTTACTACTGTGGCATTTTTCACCTTGTTACAACATTTAGTTACCTATTTTGAGTATCATTATAAAAAAAATAATTGCTTTGCCTCTGTCTGCATAGTCACACGAAATACTTCAGCAGAATAAGGTTTAACAAATACTTAGGTTTAGTAAAATCAGATAACTGTATGGATTATATACCACAGATTCAAAAAACAACAAATTGGTGAAATTTCTTAAAAGTAAAATCGAAACATTAGTCTGCAAAAAGTTAGGCATAATATAAATAAAGTTTGGAAAACCCACCTCTTTCACGTCTTGTTGTGTTGATAATAAGGCTGAACGAGTAGCGTAGTAATGAATCACTAGAAGCATTCGCTCAAATATTTTTATTATCTCTGGTTGTATATCTGACTGAACATGTTTAAGATTTTGATTTAAATCGAACAAGATATCACGCAGAGTAGACCATGTTGAATATGCATTGGCCCATACAATCCACGCTGACATGTTATGTCCTAAATGCATAAAAACCATGGTAATATTTAAAGTGTAATACTGCTATGTAAAACAAGTCTAGAAAAAATTCATTTTCAGTTATGTTAAAAAAAAATCCCTGTTCAAACCATAACAAAAGAAATTCTAACCCACTCACTAATATTCTCAACTATATAGAGCTAGAGTAATAGGTTAGCAGGATAACTCGATCAACGAGGTTGTGAAACTCCACTAATTGAGTAAGGTACGACACATGTCACATATACCGAGTCACTGCTTCTTACGGTGACTGAAGTAGGCTTAAACTGTAGAACCATTATTAATAATCATCTGCAAACACACTAAAAAATACCGTTCAAAAAGAAACAGACCTATTCACTCTGTGTCGTCTACCATATTCTGAAAATCTTTGTTCATTTATTTTTCCGTGACACACATGTTTGTACATAATATTATCGTTCTGCTTCTCCCCTCTCCTTTTGTATACTTTTTAAATTACGGTAACTCGACTTGATGTACTTTTGTTTAAAGTTGTACACCTATCTGTAGGTCAACCAGCATTTGTTTTTATTTCGTCTCACGTAATTATTGTTGTTTAAGTTTGAAGATGTCATTAAATATTTCAAAGCGAAACCACTTTTAAATAGCTTCCGTTTAAATTTGTCATTGCTTTCATCAAAAACCAAGAACCAACTTAAATCCTGACACTTACTTGAAATATTCGTTTATAAATATTAAAGTTTTGTTTATAGGCTGGTGTGCCGTATTTTTTATATAGAAGCATTGCATCATAAACACGTGAATCTTTAATTAGACTAGCTGCATAAGCTGCAACATATTTATGCAATCGTTGATGTTCTTTCAGTGCCTTTGGTGTATTCAAATTTGCAATGCTGATATTCATGTTATCACCACCACCAGAGGATAAATTTGCTTCACGTAATAACTGTTCAGCTGCAGTTAAACACTTTTCCCATCTACCTTGCTCTGCATACATATCAAGTGCAGAAACAGCGTCAACTCCAGCTAATGTTTCCACTTGTCCACTTGTCTGCATGAATAAAAAAAGAGAAAAATGTTTTTAGTGAAAATTTTGAAGAATAAAAGTTGTCTGAGTTAGAGTTGCTTAGTGATAAAACACTAGCTTGTAGTCATAAAATTTAATTGAACACTTTTCGGAGTGTATTCTTTGAATAAGTAACTTGTGGAAATTTTTAAAAAATAGATGAATGAATTTTAATCGTTGTAATTTCCGGTACTATGGTATCTAAATAATCTGACAAAAATTATCGTGAGGTGTGAAAGTTACCACTAATGAGAAATAAAATACTAATGCAATATAATAGATATTGGTAATTAGGCGATTGGTAATATTGTACTGTATAATTCTGATTCCCAGACGCATTCTGTTTAACAAGTTTTATTCACGTCCATTAAGTCAAATGACTTAATGATACAACTCATTGCATATACCTGACACGACTATGTAAAGTTATCAATACACAACTTGAAGGCATATTTCGGTAAGGTTTACCAAACTAGAAGAAAATAAGCGCCCAATATCCTTTGTTTATCTATGATTTCTAGATGCTGTCAGCGAATGATATAGGATTTTATGCACGTATGTGTATATACTGTCGAGTTTAACTATGAAATTCCGTTGTGAAATATTGGATTTTTTGAATCATTGTTTTACTCCGGATTCACTTATGAATTAATTTCTTCGCATAATAAACTGTATTATTTTTATTTATTTTTTATTTTTGATCTACAGCTTGATTCCACACTGTATTTTCGGTACAAGTATTACAGATAATCAAGAAGAATTCTATAATTTCATTTTCACTACTGTTTTCTAAGTAGTATTAACTGAGCAAGTCATTTTGTACAGCAATTTAACCTGCTTCACTCAATAGCTATGCCAATTTAAATGGAATTGGTTAATTAAAGAGTTCATCGTAAAGACTGATGTGCAGTGAAATAAAGTGGAAGAAACGTAGAATGAAGAAATATTAGAGGCACACTGATTTGAGCGGGGCATGATCCTAGCTGTATCTCGTATCGTGAATGAAGTAGTTTACTCTGTCGATAATGATAATATCTATCACTCAAACGGATGTCTTTCAACTAAATCGCATTAGTGAAGGTTTTTTAATGGAAGCTTTGTAGTTGTTACAGAACAGGGTAATATTTGTCAAAGATCTTATATCTCTTCATTTTTTTTACATAATCGAGTAGATGTGCTTCTGAGACTCGCTTCTCTCAGTTGGATTCACATGGATTGATCTTTTTGAAGAGGAATTAATCAATATGCTGATTGCAAAAATGAATGTTTCTAATAAGTGAAAAAACTGAAAAGTGTAGATTTTTCTGAATACCTTAGATATATATAAATAAGTCTTTTCTTGCCTTTTTTGGGTGCTGAGTGCAAATGATTGTTTAAATGCTTCCGAAAAATGCACTGCGTTTCACTTCCGTTTTACGTATAAAAACACCATACATGGCCTGTAGCATACTTTGAAATCTCCACAAGACATTCTTAACCCTGTCGACACTTTCATTACTACGTAGAGATCAATACAGTCAACATACTGTTGCATATCTCAACATCAACGCAATCATTTTGAGTAAAAATTAAAATATTCCACTACTGCTAAATTTAAAGATGCATTGATACATATCCATCGGATAAACTGATTGAAGTGAATGGATTAGTATTGTAGAAGAATAATACAGTTTGTAGTGAGTCCAATGACTTACTCTCAAAGCTTCCTTGTACTTTGTTTCAACATACGCTTCCAAACGTGGTTCCAACTCACGAGCTACACACCTCGCCTTTGACCAGTTCTCACCAGCAATAAATGCATCAATTGCTTTCTGTATCTTATCAACACTCAAGAGTAAGTCACCTGCTAAAGTATGACGCTACAAATTAGAAGAAAAAAAGTTAATTTATACATTTAACTGAGCTGTATCAGAACTCAAACTAGCAGCCTAAATGCTATAGTATGCACTATTATTGCAGCTTTCAACTGAATCAAAATCACACTTCCACCACAATACGAGTAGTTTGTTAAATCAGAGGGACTGGTTCTCGTGGATCCAAACATGGTGAGGAAACAGAGTTGCTTAAACGCAAACTGGTCGAAAGTTTTTGCAACGATCGCGAACTGTGGTAGGTGACAAAAGTGAAACAGATGAAATAGGTATCAGCGTTAGACAACCTCAGACAACTTTTCAGACTTATTAGAGAAACGAGTTGCAAAAAGCAAATGATAAGTGATGCAGTCTCCAAAAAAGCGACGTCTTGATTAAGTCTCAGAGTAGACAACTGGAACTTTACAACGAACATTTTGATGAGTACTTTAACTGACCTACGGCCACACTCAACTTGCACACCATCAACACACTTCAGTGGGATGTAGACATCAGTCCTCCCACTGTAACTGAGGCTACAAAGGCCATCTCTAATCCGAAACGGCAGGACCCAATGGAATGATTCCAGAGAGCTTAAGAACGGTAGTGACGAAATGTTGTCTGGGTTAACTAAGAAGTCAGAAAATGTCTGGGAATCACAGATAGCCGCTTTAGCCTGGTGAAAGTCACCAATTATCCAGTTTTATAACAAGCGAAACAATTCTTCATGTGATAATCATAGCAGGTTTAATTTGACTAACATATTATCTAAAGTCCTAGTTTCAACACGCACACTAATTGGTGCTCGGTAGAAACAAAACGAAGAAAACCAGGTAGGCTTTAGGTTAGGAAGAGGGTGTATTAATCATCTGTCTGCCATATGGCAGGTTCTGGAACATAGGCATACTTTACTTATTTGGGAAGCTGCATCAGATCAGGCGTAGTATGTTAGCTAAGAGGGGTAATTTAGTCGATGAGGATGTGGAACTACATCTGTTGAGATAGTTAAGACACGTGTTGCTCATGCCCATTCATCACCTTCCCCGACGAGCAATATTAGTCTATATATATATGATCGGGTTGGAAGAGAGTTAGGGGTGTTCAAAGCAAAATCTGCCATCACTCCGTGAAGTCTTTGACTGATTGTCTGAGCCACGTACGGAGGTGTAATCTATCTGGTTAGGGTCATCGGGATGAAAAGAACCAGTGGTTACAGACTATTGGTGATATTTCTGAAAATCTTTCTGAATGATTCAGATACATTCACTCTCTGTGATCACCAGTGTCCACTAAAACATAATCTTTTCCTATGTTCCTACACTCACATTTATGCTCATATATATATATATATATATATATATATATATATATATATATATATATATATATATAGCGGTCTGATTTTACTCTCCTTTGTCTACCTTTGTGTGCTACATCGACTATGGCAACTTGAACTGCTGCCTTTCTGTACAAAGTTCCGTACTGAAAATCAGTTAGTCAGTTAAATCAAGACTAAGTCAAAAGACATAATCAACAAGAGCAAATACCACTATGTAGTAGAACATATGAAGTTCTTTAAGTAATTTTAAAGCAATACACACCTTTATTTTATCATATAACAGGCTTATTAAGGCTGTTCTACATTATATAACTTCTTGCTTTACCTGAGCTAATAATCAAGATTTTATTGTTAATTCTAGAAGGCGGCTCCAAAAATACGACTGAATATGCAAATGTCATCTTAACACATTTTAGCAGCATTTGATGCTTCGACGATCAACATGTTGTTCTGGCTAAATTATTCACTGAATGACTTTACAACAGAAATTACTATGATCATATGATTCAGCATCACACTGAGGTAAGAATGTTAACCCTCAACAATCTTGTGCTTATCCAAGCAGTTGACAATGATCTGGATGTGCTGTTTACAAATTAATGATACTACCTGGTTACCTGGACCATATAGGTTGAAGTAGTTTTCAGACTCATTGAAATATGAGTGCCTGTATCAACTTACCAAGGTATGACAATGAAATGTTGTTATCAAAGAAGAATTAAAGACGCAGAAAATATCTGGTAAATCATTTGTATGGTAGACTAGGAATTCTAGCACAAAAGAAAGAGCAGATTTGCTCTCATCACTTATCTCATTTTTAATCTGAACCGGTCATCAGTAAGGAATAATTCATTCCGAAACAGTGGCAGATTAGGTCTCTGATAAAATTTCATAGGGGCTGTTAGTGGAAACCTACCTCCTTCTAAATTTCCTATAAATCACTACATACCATATATCTAATCACCATAAATCTCAGTTTCAATATTATTCATTGTGAAATTAAAGAAGATAATTTTAGGTGTGTATTGCAGTCTTTGTCCTCTGTTTCACTGAATGCAGCCCAAAGTCAACATCACTCCAGTAGATCACACTTTAAAGGCAGGATGACATTTCATTGAAAGATAGCCTTTACGACAGGAAACAAATTGCTGCTAACAGTTTATAAACATACGGATAAACCACTCACCTGAATAGATACCAGACGTGAAGCTACCAATTCCGCCACTTTAACAGAACTTTCAGCCGGTAAAAACTTCACTGCCAAATTAGCTGCATGCAACCAGGCATGTTCACACACATCCGTTGGAAGGTCAGACAATTCATCTGAATTACTAGAATTTGCACTGGGAATAAGTTTCAAATAATATTCAACTGCACGTAGATATTCACCACGTGACTCAAAATCTCTTGCTTGCAGAAAGTAAGCATTTGTACTTTTACTAGAGATATCATCTATAACTGAAGAAGATGCTTTCCGATGCTGGTTAGACGGTTTACTGCCAAGTGATCCATGTCCACTGGATTTTCCACCGGTATACCCAACTGACTCTCCACCAGTGATTGCACGCATTCTTTCTTCACGCAGCTCCTCCTTTATTTGAAATTTATCATAAAAGTCATCATTTCATAAAATACCATCTCACTGTGAAACATAAATGAGAGTTTGCAGGATGTAATCAATTCACATATGTTGTGTAAGTATATTATGCAATGCATTTTAAGAATAGGTACTAATTATCACACCCTCAATATTACATGGATGAGTAACATTGGATGCAGACGTTCAGAATTATTACTATATTGCTACTAACGAACTAATGAAATAAAAACTCCTAAATTTTTTCAGTTCATTCAACTGTTAAACATATTTACGACTAATTGACTGAGGATTTAATCTGAGCCAATAACTATAATTAAAAAGTTATACATTAATACATGAAAAAAAATTTGTGATAGTTTTAAGCGCCTAATGGACTGGAATTCTTTAAGGTCCACTTCTGTGAAACTGCACATCATTTTGTAGCATTTTCCAGATCTTAAATTGAAAAGACAAAATAAGTGTACTAAACAGTAAAGTCTTCAAGGAGATAAACTATTCCACAGTTAAGTGTGTAGCATATCTACATACTTTATTTAATACAAATTCCCTGTAATACCTCGATGTAGAGAATAAATAGGTTAGTGATCCTAGAGGATTTTATGTTGATGATTACATGTATAAAAAACATGAGCTCATGTAATCCAGAAATCTGAATAAACCGACACTAAATTCTGTTTATCTAATTTCAGGTGACCTGAAAGACAATCTAACATTTAAGTAATTGTTTAGGCATTCCTCACGAGCTTACAGTGATGATCATTCAAGTATATGGGTAACTGCGATAACCACAGAAGATGAAATGTCAACTATCCTATACATTTGGTTTGATTCTGTGAAGGTGAATCACATCAATATATAAATTTTGTCTCAATAAAGTTGATGAACTGAATCGTATTGGAAGCTCACCTTGAAAACAAAGTGAGCATTTTCAACTTCATATCTACATGCTGAGCTACAAATATTCTCTATGACTTCTGAAATCGACAAGTCATAAATGACTCATCACTGTGAGTAAACAGTAGTCTAAGTTACATAAGAAAGTGTCGGTGTTTAAGCTGATAAAGTCTATGGTTGGGTGTTTTTAGTAGACTTTATACGTATTTCTCTACTCATGATTTAAAAAACGTGTGTATATGAAATTCATTCATTACTAGAAATTTTGCATTTCCCAATGAATAAAGTTGCTGTTTTTACTGATGCTTTTCGCTCTACTGCTAATAATTCCAGACTGTCGGATTTAATGATAAACACATGAATTATAAAAGTACCATGTGTTTACTACCCTCAGTTTACTGTCTTCGACTTCTGACTGACTTCTCTGCTCTAGGTTGATACAGAGTGTAGGAACGTAAACTAAAAAAATAGCTGTGTATCTGACTCTGTTATATTGATTTTCCACATAAATTTTCAGTGTGTAATTGAACAAAAGCAGCCGTACTAATCAACAGCAGATTCAGTTCAAACAATCAAATCAATTGAACTGACTGTGTTAACTGAGACTATTGATTGATTCACAATAAGATTTATGGTTTTCACTTTTTACTCAAGCTTTATTACCTTAACTCTCTTTAAAAATCTTGTAATAATAACCATTATATATGAGAACTTCTTTAGACTTTCAAGGATTTCTTCTTAATTCTAATTTTTATGGCAGTCTAACTTGTCTCAAGATAATTGTTGTGTAATTGACATTGAAGATATTGAGCTCTTAGATTAGGAAACGAATTAAAATTCTAAAAATTCTATAAATAAACACTGAGAGAGCTATTTGGTTACCTTAAGCTCTTGAACACGATTTGGTAGGTATGTTTCGGCTACTCGTAATGCCTCTTCCCACATGCCTGCTTCACGGTAAGCGCGTACTGCCATATCAGGGCGTTGAGCTCTGAGTAGAAGTGCTTCAGCCTGGGCAAATTCTTTCTCACCAAAAGCTAATCTTGCTTGTCCAAGTAGGACGTCATTTACACTATCAGGATCGTGCTCACTAGCCACACGTGCTGCTGAATCCCAATCTTGATTATGTACGTACATTAGAACTGCTTCCCTAGGTTTACCAGCCTAATTAGATAAATAAATAATACGAAACTAGTGAAACATTCAATAAAATATTTTGCATATATGCAAATACAATAAAGCATGAATCAGAAGTTACATAACAGTACTAAATGATAGAAATACAATTATTTCCCGATAAAATCCAGTTATCCTTTCTATAGTGTTGATGAAGATACACCAGTTACCTACACAGATATCAAATACATCGACAACAAATCAAATGAACATGCTTACTCCAGTAGTCTAGTAGAGCACGTTCTGTAATTCAAATGAATGAAGAGTAAAATTTACTTTTAGAAAGGGGAATAACACTCACTGTCTTCAAAGCCTGTCATTACATTATACTTTCGTCGCCAAATAGTCTATCTATTGTAATACCATTGACAGATTACCACAAATTAATTCCCGGATAAGCATATAATACGAAGTCCAAAAATATGTACTTGTATCAGCTGCAAGCAAACAACACAAAGTATGTTATCCACTGATTCAATGGCCATTATAATAGCAGTGATGGTCATGATACTTACAGTTAGGAATCATTTCGTAACAGAAGGCGTGATTCTTGTGGTTAAGTTTATATCTGCATTCAGTTTAACAGTCTTTAAATGGTATGCTTGCGATACAAGTTACGAGAATTAATAGAGTTCCATCTCACAACCATTTACTGATTTGAATAAGTCTTGAGGTAGTGTAACAGCAGAAGACAAGATCGTTTATTAAGCATATCAACACATATTTTATAGATTTTCATGTACATTATTATAGATTATTTAAACAAACAAACACAGTCTTCTGATTGGTTGTTTCTCACCGAAAGTTAATTTTTCATCTCTTTGTGGCTGTTTCCTGAATGTCAGATCATCTATATGCTAAGTGTATCCGCCTACGCAAAGTCTGCTGTGGTTGGTTATTGAATCAGTCTTTGCTGATATCTTTCCCACGACCAATATTGAGGAAGTAAACATTGACGTAAATTCCTGTCTAACAATTTGGCTAGCAACCAGCTCTCACCACAGTAGTATTCGATCCCTTGAAGAGTTAATTATTTCCAATAAGATATATTTTTTGTAGACATTTATTCAGATTCTCATTTTATGGTAATATAGAACATAAATCTAGTTATGCTGCATGCATTGCAGTGATCAAAATATCTTTACATCCTCAGTGGTAGCTCTTGGATTATATGAGGCGAAACTCATTCATTAAGAAACACCGATTATGTCTGAAAAGTGTTTTTTCTATTAAAAAGCACGCTGCTTTTTATTGACAGAATTTTTTGATGGTCTTTAAATTAAACTAATTATATGTGGAATATTTTAAAAGTAAAATGTATAAGGGATTGAAATCAACTACGGAACTACTGACAAACGAAGAACACTTTAAAGCTCTATCGTCTTCATTGTGCACACAGAAAGTCATACAGGATCAAGTTCAACAAATTTCCTGATTAAAAATTAGTCATATTAGATAAAGCGATAAGAAGACGTAATTTGTCTGAATCATGTAATGCATTTGCGCAACACATTTCGAACAATCTGACCACACACGGACTTAGTCATATTAATCAACTCTTCATTTAAAACCTAAATCACACAAGCAGTTTATTCTGTTTACTCAGCATCATTATAAGCAACATATTGTAGTTAAGTTACACACATACACTTTTGCAGCCTGACAATTGAAGTGACGAACTTCAAATTTGTGCACATATATATGTATATGATGTATATATAAACTGTTAAATACGTGACTGTCATAGACTGGATAAAGGATCCGAACACCATACCAGTAGGCGCACTGACTACTGAGTTCAGATATTATGATAATCCATTTGTTGTCTTTAATATGCCTAAAATGAGAATCGAATATTTTTGGTTGTGTATTTTACTATGTTAAACTTTGAATTACATCACTCTGATTGAAGCGAGAATTCGCATCATCCAACCGCTAACATTCAGTCAATCATCTGTCTTCTTATTCGTCTATGGAACCAGAAAACTAGCTTCACAACCATGCTTTTTCTAACCAATAGTTTTATTACATTCACTGGTGTTTTTCTCAACAGAGTAATGAACGAAAGTATGCATCACCAGGGGATTTATATCTTTGGTGTCTAGACTTTGCATCCAGATATTTTTATAGTCTGAAGCAGGAATCATGAAGGCGAGGCCTAAAGTTCGCTTCATCTATACAAGTTCTTGAGTAACTGGCTAGTTAAGAAAACTAATTTCCGTTTTTGTTGTATGTTTTCATGGTTGACCTAACTCTTCCTTACAAACTCTACTTAAAACATTCTTGTTCGTTCTTTCACACTCTGTATATCTCGACCATTTTGCTATCGCTTACGTCAGTAAATATGCTAGTAGTATCTGCTTTTCTAACACCTTCAAACACTCTGTTTAAATTTTGGCTTTGCTACCGACATGCTAATATTTTGTTGTCAAAACTGACTGAGATAACTTTAATCTATGTAAAACTTTATTTATTGTTAATGTACTAACTGGATGCAATATTGTAGTAAAAATGCTGAGAATTCCATTCTGGATCACAAAGTACTGTTTTGGAATAAAGCTATTATCTTATCTTAACTTATTCAGCTCTTTAGCAGACGTATTACTATACAGGTAAAAAAACCAACTCTTGAGCAGCTCCATATGTGAAAAGTATTTTTACTAGCCGTCTCGTTTTACCTGAGCTTACAATACCAAATTAACATAATTATTACTGTAAGATATATGTGCGTTTTACTGTAAGTACATGGAATAACAGATTAACATGGTTAAAATATGATTGGTAATGAATAATAACCAGTGTTATATATGTGGTACCGAGTGTGCTGACTAAATTCTATCCTTCATTTTACAAAGTAGCCACCAATCTAGATGACTTCTCATCTTGATGAATCTTTGGATAATCCAAGGAGGTTGAAAGTAATTAGTAAGAACCCCTAGTTTCAAATTCAATAAGGTTGCTAACAATGAGAAAGTCCGTTAAATAAAAAAAGAATTACATGCATTAAAAAATCAAATCCTTATAAGTGAATTAACCTTGATAAATTCTTCTTCGGCTTCAATAAATTTTCCTTCATCCTCTAGAAACATTGCATATTTATTGTGTACTTCAGCTAAACGTTCTGGACACGCCGACTGGGCTAATTCGAACGCGAAACCGAATGCACAGTGTTCTGAGGCATAATCGATAGCATTCTCCAGCAAACCTAAACGAGTTAACAAACGGACAGCTGCTTCACCACCCAGATGTTTTGCCCATAAATAGGCTACCTGTTTACGAATTTCTGGTTGATCTGTACGATTCGATGCAACACGATAAGCATCCTCCCATTGATTTCGTGTACGATACATATTCACAGCTGACTTCCAGTCTTTGACCTACAAAAATCCACAGGGAAAATATATTGAAACAGTTCTTAAGATAACACACTTCGGTCTAAACTCCAGCTAAGTCAAATCGGATTTAAGTATCAATTTATCTTGTATAAGTAGACAAATGTAGTGAGAATTAGTTTGACTAACAAGTGATTCATGCTACTCAGTTTACAAACCCTTCAACCCGTAACATGAAGATCACTAATAGAAATTATATCACAGATGCTGTTTTCTTCAAATTCCATCAGTATCATCATCCAGCTGAAATGTGTTCATCATGTCAAACCAAAGGTAGCTTAGATTAGTTTGGAGTAAAACATTTGACTAAAATTTCGTTCAGTTAAAAGATTTACAGAAAACCCACTGATTTCAAAATGACTTTCTCAACAAACTAACAGCGCTTACATAATGAATGAAAATCAGAAAAGTGGTTGGGCAGTTCATTCACCCTAGTACCATACTCTTCAGCAGTTTATTAGCAGAACTCAATGTAAGATTGAGATTAAAGCCGTCATTTACTGTAGTGAGAAAGCTGTTTATTTTTTCCCAATGTTTAATGCCTGTTTAGCTGATACTAACTTGTATCTAAAATTAGTTAGATAATTCTGAATGTAAAAACATTACTAGAGATAAAGCAATCGAAAGCGGGGAAAAAAGTTACAGCTGTAATATTTTGGACAGATAACTTGAATTGAATGCACTCAAATCACCCCTAAAGAACAACTGCACTTGTAGATCTCCAACACAATAGTCAATAAATGCTTGACAATACAAAGTATCAGATTTCTCATTTCAAGGATATTGTAGCAGTGTACTACATCAAATGAAATTATTCTCTTATGGAGTTATATAAGCAATCCACTGTGGTTCCAGGTTTTATTGATACATATTTGTGTTCACTGTATGATTCAGTGTGTTTATGAACTTGTTATTTCTAATATCATAAGTTTCTGTATGTATTCATACAGCTGAAGGTGAACTTATCGGAACGGTGTTGATAGAATCAGGAGGATTTCGACTTTGACATATTAGGATAGAAAATATTCGTAAAGGTAAGTAATAAAAACGTGGTCAATATGGAGCATTCGATAGCTGATTGAATACTCTCATGTAACAACTAGTTAATCAGATAGTTTTTTAAAAAAAACAGTCTTCTAGTATGTTAACGCAGTTTTCTTTTCAATGAGACTGATGAATAATAGTTACATTTTTATCACATGTAACTAAGATTATTGCCTACTACTTTTTCTCTGAGAGACACAGTATTATAAATTATTTAAATTAATCCCAGAGTGTTTAAGAAAAAGTCAAAACAAGATTTTTTTTCCGAACGTTTCACTGTGTAAGCCGCAGCTTCTTCAGTAGAATTATTCGGCTTTTATTAATCATCAAAATATACAGTCAAAAATGTTTTACATCAGTGGAAGTCAGTTTATTTGAACGTCATTTGCCGATAGACATTTGTACCAATAGAAATATGCAAGCGGTCATCATTTATTTGTAATGACTAGTGTTAAATTGTCACTGTATATATTTTTTCTGTATGTGTGTGTGTGAGTATATGTTATTTGTCATATGGAAAAGAAGGCAGTTCACACCTGATAAACATGATAATACTTTTCATAAAGGTCATAGAGGTTTTCTTTGTTTTCTCATCTGTCTTGCTTCATTAGAGTTTGCCATATGGGTGAGACGTCTATCCCTTCTTTCCTACTTACTGCATTCGGTGTGGTTAAAATGTGCAAGCCTCTAGAGGTCAACCTTTCTTTATGTGAATGAAATCCGCTTTCTAAAATTTCGACATTGTCGAAATCAATCTTATGTCTGCTGTCCATCGCATACATTGCTATAGCTGATCTTTTCTCCAGACTTTTTAATTCTACTTCATTTCTAGGTGGACGTTTCGTGCATAGTCTATGTTCATTCACTCTGACCCTCACCTGTCTACTGCTGTCCCCCATATGTCAAGCTTCACATTTTAAACACATTATCCTATAGACACAATTACTTTGTGACATTTTGGGAACCAAATCTTGGACATTCACCAACGCTTTCTTCAGAGAATTAGAGGGCTTGAAATAGACTTTAATATTATATGAAGTAAATGCTCAGCTGTGTCCTTTCAATATGGGATGACTATCGTCGATAGCCAAGATTTTTCAATTTTCTGTTTTCCCTTCTGCTTTTCTATCGACAATATTATCCAGTAGCTTTTCCGGATAATCATTTCCAATCAAAATCTACTTTATATTCCATATCTCGTTCTCCATATCATTATTTGTTATAATGTTTCTAGCTCTGTTAATGAGATTTAAAGCTACTGAAACTTTCATTCCTATTGGATGATCTGGTCGGAAATTCAAATACTTGTTGGAATGTGTCGGTTTTCTGTATATTGTAAACTTTAGTTTCTTGTCAGTTTGTCTTTTTACAAGACAATCAAGAAATTTTAGAGTTCCCTCAGCCGATTCTACTTCATCTGTAAACTCTATATATTCTGAGATTAAGTTAATCTCTGTTAGAAAGTTTTCTTTTCTAGTTTTCTTAATAATAATAAATGAGTTGTCTACATATCTGTACCACATTCTAGAGAAATCTGGTCTTCTATATGCAGCCCGAGAAGGCAGCTATCGATAAAAGTCCTCAGTAGCCTGTCGGATGTGCTCCCCATGGCGTCCATTACAAGATTCTGACCCATTTAGGAGAACTCATTCAACATCAGTATTGAGTACAGGAGATTTCCGAGATGATTCTTGAGTGTTGGGGGTCTGTATTGCTTTATCGACTCTGGTTTCGATGTCCGTATTCGTTCCATTTATATTTGCTACGAAGCTTCCTAGATAAGTGAGGGAGGTAACCTATTGCAAATTGATTCCGTTAATAGTGAGTGATGCTCGTTGTCGTCGGTTGGTTATTTTCATTACCCGATTCTTCTCTGTGTTCACTTGAAGTCCCGTCTTTGCTGTCTACTTCTTATATCAGCTTTTTGGTTTCCGCCTGCAAGTCTTCAACTTTTTATGACATTAGACATAAATCCTCCACACGCGAAATCCAGATCTTCTAGAGCCTTGTCATCGGTCCAGAGTATTCCTGTCTTCTCACTCTCGACAGTCCTCCACATATTGCAGTGCATCAAAATTAAGGATATCAACGTTGGTGATAGCATGCAGTGTTGTCTTACTCTTGTCTTTACTTCAAAGACTTTCGTGAGTTTTCCTTTGTGGATTACTTAGCAGATGGCATTGTGATATAGCCAACTGTTGAATAAGGTCGGCAAAGATTTGCGGCACTTTGTAGTGTTACAGTAATTTCCAAATTACTTCTCGGTCAACGCTGTCGAAGGCCTTTTCAAAGTCAATGAAAACGAAAACATAATCAAGCCGTACTTAACCATTGGTATGAAGAAATTCGGTTATAAACCTCTCATAAGAGGTTCTTGTAACAGGCGCATCTAGTTCTTGAAATGGCCCACTCTGGAATTATCAGTGTTAAATGTGTGCATGTAAGTACATTACCTAAATAAAGTAAGCTTAGCCTCTTATTTCGTGTGAGTCTTTCCACTAGAACAATTTAACAATCATGTACTAGTTAAAATCAAAGTTATCCGGGAGAATGATAACAATAAAACCAGGAAAGCAACTGGGATCACTTTGTGTTTAATCAATCTATAACTATTACCTGTCGTCAGACTTAGATGAAATTCCGTCTGTCAGTAATCCCAAAATGCTTGTCTTCATAGAAATAGATTCTTATTTTCCTGATGACTGTACCTTGGAAAATTATGTAATTTAAATTGAAATGTCACCAACGGCGCAGTTATTTGACTGTTATCAACAGACAAAGTACTGATTTCCAGTTATTTTGACAGGCTCAAATTTCGGCATTCGCATAGAAAATATTTTAGGTATTTCTTATGAACTACTAGTGAGTAGATAAACGTGTGAAGGAAACATTTTCGTGTCACACTAAAACAATAACTTAATGCCGCAACTAATGAAATTTTTCAGTTTACATTGAAATAAAATCTCAAAAATTTGAATAACTAGTAAATACAAACATGCATACCTCCAAGTAATACTGTTCTGCTTGCTTTAGGTTGCCTTCACTTTCAAGTTCTTGAGCTAAATGCAAATAGGTTTGCTCCAGTAAATCAGGATTGAACTGTTTCACTAAACGCACCATATCTCTATACTGGTGTGCACGCTTATACATTGATATGGCTCGGTCACTCTCTTTCACAGTTAAGTACAACCGTTCAGCCTCTTTGTAATTACCAATATTTTCATATTCTTCAGCTTGCACTAAATACATGCTAAATTTGCAGTGTATATAGTAAAAGAAAGAGAAAAAAACTGGGTGAGAAACAAGTATTTTCCCCGTTAGGACGTGAACTGGTAGAAGAAATATGCTGTCAGAGACGTTTTAAGAAATCTTCCCCATCAGTGTGCAATTTTTTAAATCTAAGCAGGAATTAAAAGTACCTGCTTAAAAATATTGTTGCACTAAAATGTGTACCAACCTGAACCAACTAGGATATATACAATTTTCTACAGTATTTCAACTTACCAGTCTATTTGCAAATGGTATGTACTATTCGATGATAGTACTACTGATAAAGAACCAAACCTCTTTTCTATGAAGCTGAAAAAAGAAACTTATACACATTACTCTGAGTGTGGCGTTTCGGTATGGGATGCAAGGTTTCGGTCGGCAATAAGCTCTGTTCGACTAATATTTTTGTTAGTCAGTACCAGGCAGTGCCCTCAAGACAGTCTGTATTCTATCAGGGATTAATGTCATGTCATAGCATTTCAATCCTACGTAGGACCACATCTAAATCAAGACCATCATCTGAATTCGCTTTCAGTTCATGATAGATTTTTTCGTAAAACGTAAAAAGTCATGTTATCCAAACACTGCGGGTTCACTGTTTACTGTTCGGTAAATCCAAAGTATGAGGTTTATACACGACCTGAAGGATCTCACCATGAGCTGACATCATTTAGAGAGCAACTGGAAAATCTGGAAGTACTGGACAACTGATTTGTCTTAGTTTGAGACTCTCCAGCATGATAAAGTCCTCCAACCAAGCAAACAAAAATGTCCTCCAACCACGCAAACAAAAAAACCCAAAAAACCAATAATTGAAAATTATACACAAATTGTATGTTGACATGCTACAATGAATATTTGGCAACTTCACCTTCATCACAACATTGATGCCTAATTCAGGGAGATGGAAAAGTGCCTAGATGATTTGCGAACCTAGTACCAACCACAAAACAGAGAGATAATGTTTACCTGTTACTTGGAATCACTGCTTAATATATTGACTTATCACACGTTATGTCACCATATCAGGAAGGAAATATTATGAAGGCAGAAAATAAATAAATCGAATAAATGCAATATGAAAGGAAAAAAACATAATTCTAATCACCACTAAAAGAAGTTCTACAGACATTCTTCTGCTTACATCTTCATAGTGCAAAAGTCCATTTAACCATCAGTGGATAATTATAGAACGCATATTTTTCTGTATTACGACAGTGACATAAAGTATGAAATTAAATTATGTTAAGGTTATATGTGTGAACTATCTAATTTTATCGGATAAATGCTTTCTTGACATAGCAATCGAGATCCCACGTGGCAATGATCCAGTGGACTATACTAGATGAAACAAATGTTTTCACTCACCATTCTACATTATCTTGCTTTGAAATAGTATTAAACATTAGTCCTTGTTTACAAGCTGGAGGATTCGATAAATATTTCACTTACTTGTTGAAACTTGAATAAGTGCAATGCTTAGTACTGACATTAAATGACAAATAGTTGAAAAGCCTTATCCATAATATTTAACGTAAGGTAATCATACATGCTTTTAAACCGTGTTAACAATAGAACTTCAATCTTTATATTGATTTATTTAGATGTAAAATGCATTGCAGACAGTGTGCTATGAGAAAACTGAGTGTCAACACCACGTCAGTATTTTATCGATTTTAATCACTATGTTTGTTTGCATCATAGAAAAACAGCAGAATTATATATACTATTTTTTTCTCAATTGAAATAAGTTACAGCTCTGACAAGGATCGATTACTCAACGTTTTCTGTTTAAGAGATCATATAAGTAACTAAAAATTATTGATAAAATAGTTCAGTTTATTTTGTTATTTAACTTGATGGCATTAAAAATTCAGACATACACCAAGAAATGTATAAAGAAGTCAGACTAACTATCGCTAACTTAATATTTTTTTTACTGAACCTCACTTGCAGTTACTTTCTACTATTTTATCCTACAGTGTGAGAACCTGAAGTCTCCTAGGTAACGATATCTCAAAACTGGCCTATCTACTCACTGAAGGCTTGCGTATCTAAATGCTGATCGCATTTCTCATATTGCCTGGTTATTTCAGTTGGTTGGGATCATTGTAGTCGAGTTCTGTTTGATTTAGACTGATGGTACAATATGTGTTGTCTAGCCATCCAAACATGCTATGAGTGAGCTAGATATTAGACACAGTGAATCTAATATTCTCGAACAGCCCAGCCAACAACTTTTATACTCCGTTAACCATAAGAACTGATGATTAAAAATACCGAATACCTGGAGACAAAATAAAATCATATGAACAGCCTGAGTACCTTTGCTCTTATGGACGTACAATTTACCAGTGTTTACTAGCTTGAATCCGATAGACTGAAATCAGGTCATTTTATCCCATAGATGACGTGTGCTTGAGAAATCTGTTCAAGTAGAAGATGTGTCCATGGAATTCTGAACAGTGTTTTTCGGCTTATAAACCATTAGTTTTTGGCTCTGTTCACCAGTCATTGCCTAAAGACATGCTTACTTAAAAATAACCTACTACAAACTTGTGGTTCCATTGAGACACAGAAAAGTTATCCAGAACACTGAGTACAATGCTGCACTTTGCGTTTCCTAATGTTTCCTAAAAGGCTTTAGAGATTATGCTTTATCGAATAATGGGAAAAAAGACTAATTATTTGCGGAAATAACACAAATATCTGGTATTTAACAGTAAAAAAAGATTAAACAAGGAATTATGTATCTGACTTGAAATCAGATTTTCTCCAACTGCTTCAGATGTTCCTAAATAGGTGCCATGACTGAATTCGGACTAGAACCTGTTTTCGGAAAATTGGAGCTACTACTACTGCTACTTTGCTGTGAGATATTCAAACCAAATTTATGAAAACTTGAGAATTAGTTCTAAACATCCTAGCATCTAACGCTTTGTGAAGGCGCATTCTCGCAGCAGTTGTTGTTAACGTGAGCTAAAGTAGGGTTAAAGTAGAAGCAGTCAGAGCAAAAACTGGCATCAGTTCAAGAAGTTTTTGACTAATGGTCTCAATCACATAGGGAGGTAGAGACTACCTAGTTGGACCCTCAGCTCGCTAATTATCACTGGCTGAAGACCTTTGCTAGTAGTATAACAACAGAAGACAAGAGCCCCGCAACAGATCGTTTATTAAGCATATCAACACATATTTTATAGATTTTCATGTACATGATTACAGATTATTTAAGCAAACAAACACAGTCTTCTGATTGGTTGTTTCTCACCGAAAGTTAATTTTTCATCTCTTTGTGGCTGTTTCTTGAATGTCAGATCATCTATATGCTAACTGTATCCGCCTACGCAAAGTCTTTGTTCTTGTTTTTCTCGCGACCAATATTTGGAACATAAACATTGACGTAAATTAATGTTTACCAATTTGGCTAGCAGCCAGCTCTCACCACAGTAGGACCTAAAATTATTCTCCAAATTAGATTTATTGTCTCTCTACTGCATTTCGCAAATCTCTACCTAACTGTTTGAATTTCAGGCAAACACTATGCCATATTGATAATATTATCCCAGTTAATGATCATAATTACTAAAAAAGCACTGAGGAACCGAATTCAGTGAAAACTGACATCTAGCTTCTACTATCAGGCAGCGAAGGAGGTGGGCGAAAAAGTAACTTTTCAGTTACTTTTAGATATCATAGTGACTTAGCACACTATAATGGCTTTTAGGTGAAATTATTATTATTGATTCACGCTCCTGACACCTTACAAGATGGAAGTCAGTAATTCCAGGTCCTACGACTAACAAACTACCACTAGTTTAATGCATTGATATGTTTATAAGCTTCACAACAAGAAATTAATAGTGCTCAGATTTTCTGTAGTTCTGCATATAAGTTATACTCATAAGATTAGAAATAACTAACCTAACCAATAACTAAATAAAAGTGATATAAATTTGCTTACTCAGTCAATTCAGTTTGATCCATAGTCTCAGATGCTAACCGATGGGCTTTTTCCCACATTCCTATTGAATTATACATGTCCACAGCTAACTTAGGTTGGTTAGCTTTGAGAAAGGCTTGTTCAGCAGCATCGTATTCACGACATGCAGCATAGTGTTGAGCCAGCTTGAGAAAATAAGGCGCCAGTTTTTCTGGAGACTTTTTATTTTCAATTGAAGCTAATATATGGAGTGCTTTCGTCCACTGGCGAGAACTAATCGCCGCATCAGCTGCCTTAACATATGCACTAAAATGAAGTAAAACAAGCAGATAAAATAGTTCAGTGTAATGGATTACATAGAAAAAACACGAAACCAAATGAAACGCGAAACTCTAATACTGACGATAAATCTCAGGTGCATAAATCCAGCGAAACAAAATCGGTAATAAAATTTACATATCACGACGATTATTAACACTTTCCGCTTAAGACTTATATTGAGACATCCTTGGAGTATGTGACTACCAGTTTACGATTTACAATACAGCTTAGTTTGACTAGTCGAATTATGTCAAAACGATAACAAATGAATTCCAGTTGTTAGATTTTTGTCACGAACCAACATCAGTCAGAAAGATAATCGAAAACCAGGGAGCCCTGAACAGCTGTTTTGTTATTTTGAGACTCCTCAGAAGTCCTCAGCCACAACGCCTCCAGGAACCAAACACAGGACCTTTATGTTACGAGACAAGCACCACTTACTGTTCAGCCATTTGAGGTGGGATTCAGTAACCTCTGAATTATAAATTTGTCAAATCCTGATATAGAGCCGCCCTTACCAATGCCTTTGATGACCATCCGTTCCACTTTTTCATCATAAACCCCCTCATCTAAGTCACTGATGGAGGAAGAGCTATATCACGAGTTAGCATTTAGAATCTAGAGGTCATTGCACTCCACCTCAAGTGGCTTGGTGGTCTACGAGTTTGATCTTGTACCCGGAAGGCTCTGGGTTCAATTCCTGGCATGGTCGTGAGTGAGCACTTGTGAGGAGTCCTAAAATAGGACAAAACAGCTGTTCATTACTCCATGATTTTCAGTAATCTCTCTGACTGATTTTGGTTAGTGATGAAAATCTAACAACTTAAATTAATCCCAAATCCCGACAGATCCGTCGGTGGCACAGTGGTTAGGACTCTTGCCGACCATGCACATGGTCCGGAGTGCGATCCATTGCCGGCGCACACCTGATATCTATGGCCGGTCTGCAAAATTCGGGCTACCGATATCACATACTGAAAATTCCACACCTGTACCAAAAAATACGGTGTGGAATCAAGCTGAAATAAAAAAAAAACTCAATAAAAAAGATAAGTTGGTCACACCAACAAATGGCATCTATTTGTGTAGCTATCAGAAGCTTATATTGTTCGCGCTAAAAAATTATCGTCTTGTGTCTTGTGATAGTATGTTTTTCACTGAGCTGCAGCTGTAAACTAACTCTGGTAGGATGTATATTACACTTTCCTGGTCAACTACACTTGATCGATGGTTTAAAAAATACAAATTTAACAATTTCAGTTTATCCCACAATAATATGATGTCAATGAAAAGCGTTAGCTGCCTTTACCGAAGATCAGAAACAGTCAGATTTTCAACCATAACTAACAACTTTAACTGAAGAAATTTAGTTTCCAGTTTCTTAAAATAACACTGCTAACTCCATGATTGAGTTTTCAACGTGCAAAGCCTATTCTTAGTCAAAGAGCAGACCTAACCAACTAAAACTCTAACTCCTTCATCTTTCGATTTATTTTATATCCCCGTATTTATTCACTTAGTTCCATCTGGTCAACAGTTGTGAATTCAGAAAACTCATCCTACGAGTGTCACGGGACTTTCTAGTTAGTTCTCAGTGATGTACTTCACTAAGTATACCATCAAGCTCCAAAACAGAAAACTCTCTAATCGACATTACAGCAACAAATGATTATCTATTTCGTTCATGGATGAACAACTATAGATCGTAATACATAAGTAGTATCCTCAAGAACAACCTCAAAATATTTTTCGCGAAGAAATAAAACCAATTCCTACATTCTCAGTGGAGAGAATAAGCAAGTTTCTCATAGATATTTCCAAACCGCGAGCTATTACAATAAGATTAGAAACGTAAGTTAACATACTCAATAAAATTGAACAGTAGGGGAGAGCAAAGCTTTTGTGCTAAAAAAACAATTGAGAAGGCCTTCGACAGCGTTGACCGCGACGTAATTTGGAAATACTCGAGCACAATGCGTACCCCAAATATTCATCAACCTTATTCAACAGCCGTACGACAACGGCACATGTCAAGTGATCCACAACAGAAAACTCAGCAAGCGTTTGGAGTAAACACAGGAGTCAGACAAGGCTGCTTATTATCACCAATGATATTCCTAATTGGTGGACTGGATTATACGTCAGACAGTGGAAACAAGAAGACAGGAATATCCTGGACCGACGCGAAGACCTAAGACCTGGATTTCGCGCGTGGATGATTGGTGTTTGATGTCACACAAATCGAAGACTTACAAGGAAAACTGACAAACTGGTGAAGCAGGCGGCGAAGACAGGACTCCATGTGAACATAGACAAGACGGAGGTTATGAAAATAACCAACAAACAACAACAACATCAGCAACATCCAGTACCAATCACCATCAACGGGAGGGATTTGAAAGAGGTTACTTCATTCACTTATCTAGGGAGCATTGTCTCAACTACAGGAAGTCGGAACGGACGTGGATGTCAAATTGAGAATCGGGAAGGCGAGAAACACATCCATCAACACGAAACCAATCTGGAAATCTTCGTCACTCAGCCAGCATCAGCAACAAAATTCGGCCGATTTTCAATACAAACGTCAAGTCGGTCAGTTCTTCTATACAGATCAGAAACTTGGCGGGCGAGTCACAAAGAATATTTCCAACAGCCTGCTGCAGACCTTTATTAACAACTGTCTTCGCTCTATACTGAAGATCAGATGGCCGGAAAGAATCACCAACAAGAAACTATGGGAACAAACAAACAAAACAAGAACCAACCGCCCAACATATATGCAGGAGAAAGCGGAGATGGATTGGACACTCGCTGAGGAGACCGCTGGGTGACATCGCACGTCAGGCCATTGCTCGAGTGGGACCCAAAAGGGAAGCGGCGAGTGGGACGTCAGTGAAAGGGTGACATGGAGGGGATTGTGCGAAGAGGAGTTGAAACAGTATGGACTAACATGGATGCAGGTGAAAAGTACAGCAGAAGACAGAAGCAAGTGTAACGTGCAGTTGAAGCCCTATGTTCCACTAGGAACCCAAGGGAGCAATAATAATAATGAAGAAAAGTATATCACTACATTTGATCCTCGAATTCTGAAATAGAAATTGATAAAAAGATGTGGAGTAATTTGTTGCATACAGAAAATGACCAACAAAATATTTGTGCAGCACCTTTGAACAGCCTTAGTTTTTTGGAGACTGAAGCGGTTTTACTAAATACAAGGGATAGATGTTGTTATTCAAAAGCATCAATAAAAAAATTAAATTTTTCTTTCATCAGTTAATGCCTATAGTTAACCAAAACCATTTATAAATTCCAACTAAGGAGAACAAATTATCATATTCACTTTAAAAACATTCCTAGACTGATTAACATAATGCACCGTCAAATATCTACTTACCCAGCTTCAATAAAATGATTAATAGCACTATCCATCTGTTGTTGCGTAACTAAGTAGCTACCCCATTCTTCTTCTAGGCGCACAATATCAGCTGGAAACGACACTCTAGCTAAATCAATTGCCTTCTGATAACAATTTCCTTGACGGTAACATCGCATAGCACTCTCTGACTGACCTAGACTTTGATACAGTTCACCAGCTTTTTCGTACAGTTCACATTGCATCAACGACTTGAAATAAAAAGATGATAACAGAATAAGTGATGAAGTTGTTTGTTTGAGGATATGACCTACAGTTTTGCTTTCTAGTAAGAAGTACCCTATCATCCTGTTATCTGATTATGTGAAGTAGGCAACTCTCTTCAAAGCCTAGGTGAAACAGTAACACTGAGATCATGTATAAAATTGAAATAAGTGATTTCATTGAAAACTGATTTTTACGACTTGGGAAAACAATATTTCCAGGTATTATTTAATGTATAGATTTTAAGGCCAGGTTGTTGAAAAAGTAGCTTCTTAATCATGTGCACCTACAACAAATTAATCTGAATCCACATCGAATCTCTATATTGTTATGTATATTAAATCCTGCAGTGGGACAGGAAAGTGAAGTGATCTAAAAGCAATGCTGTTCTGATATTGTCGTTTCAAACAGATACTTGTATGAATTTCAGTGAATGGAAGAATGCGGCTTATAACAGTGGGAAAGCAATACTTTTTAGTTTATTCTTACTTTTTTTCCTTAAATAAGTTGGAATATATTGCTTCAGGAAAGTAACAGCTTATTTTTATCTAGCTAGCCTCCACTGAACACGGTGTAACTCATCGAATAAACAAAAGATTAAGAATTGCCCTTCCTACAGTTTAATTTGGTAGTTAAACTCGTGCTCACTTACAGCACCAGTGGTGCTCTTTATCAGTCAAAAGCGGACAGGTGGTCATCATAATTCGTATACAAAAGTGTTTACAAGTTCGCTTGTATATGCCAGAAAAAGCATACTGGTATAACAGTGAAATGGATATTTACCCACCTCTCCAAACATATTCGAAAACGCCTGGGTCTCAAAGCACCTAAGCCCCTTACTACCACAATCGCTCTGCATCTGATTGAATCGGGAAACGAAGTGGATATCTAAACTGTATTTACCATTACCAACACGTAAAGAAGCTCAGCTTTACTTAGACTTACTGAAAATGTGGCTGTCAAGCAACTCGAACGCGATTTTTTCATCCAGGAAAGAACAATTATGAACCTCAGTTTACCCTGATAACAATTATTCCACTTATTACACAATTAAATATGTTTTCTAGTATTATTATTATTATTAATGTTGGTCCACTAATCTTAATTCAGTTGATTTCAAAACACTTCTGAATACTTTCATGTATGTTATCATGTGGCCTTCTTCATGTATATCGCTTCTTAATAAGTATTTTGTTTTAATTCATTTTCCGAAACTTTTTATAAACTTAATTTGAGCAAATAGTTTCTTTCGTATCAGGTGTGATGGTCATGTCATGGTGTTTCACTAACTGATTTTTCCTTGAGCCAAGATCTTCGTACTTAAATTCTGCTCAGTAGATTAAAAAATTTATGTTCTAAATTAAACCTTAGGATTTCTTCACATTGCTTTAGTAGGTAGAAAAAACAACTGAAAATATTTTGCATTCATTCTTACAGCTGGGTTAACTATTATAAACTGACACAGTTAAACTAGCTTATTTACGGAAAATGGTCGGTGATTTTTACCAGTGATATAAAACTTTCTTCGATTCACCTTGTCATTCGGAGTTACAGAGTCAATTCATTGCTTGCTCATTTATATTCATTCCACAGACACTCATTTCACTGGAACTATTTCATCGTCAACTGATGATTGGCACTTTGTTCACTCTGCTTGTTGATCATAACTTCCAGCATGAAACCCATCCACTAAATCAAATATCACGAATAATTCAATAAAATAACAAGGAAGTGTGTAGTCTTTGTTCAGTTCCCTAATTGGACTAAAATTCACTTCTGCTTCTACAGTTGCATTATACATTCTGATGCATAAAAACCACTGTAAGCATTTTACATTAGATAAGGATATTTCTTACTAATGGTGCTAATCAAATTAATAGCAACGGCTGCTCAATACCGATGATAATTAATAATCATAATCAGTCGTTGAAAACACGGTGATAAAATGTTATTAACTGGAAGACTTTTCAGGCACAATTTATTTCTCATAATCACATCATTAGGCGATATCAGATAAACTTGTATACAATCTCATTATAATCAACCACAGTACCAAAGTCCTACCCTCACATATAAAATTTCGAATCAGAAACCCAACGACGATTTGAAACCGAAGGAATGCTTAGATACAGACTGTTGTGAATTTTAAACTGGTTGGCTTAAATTCCCTTTGTGACACTTTGGAATTCGCAAGATGAATACTTATTTTATGTAGACTCTTACAATATACATGCTCCATTTATCATATATTTATTTAAGTCTAAATAATTATAACAGAAAGTCCCACTGAACTAAGAATACTGCTTGCCTCATATACAAGTCCTTTCAAAAACAAAGACCCCAATCATCTGTACTTCGTGCTCATTCGTAATATTCAAACACACAGTTTACGTTAATTCAGGTGTAAACTACTCACTGGTTTTATCTGAAACGCTCGGAATGAATAAATGTGAGAGGAAGACAAAGTTAAATATAAATAAAGCCACTTCCAGAGTTCTTTGATGTCGGTAACTTCCTTCTTGCGTTTACAGGTGTAACCTTAGAAGCCTAAAAATTTTTATTTTAAAATCAAACTACACAAAACAGTTCAGAGTAGGATTATCTTCCGGTTGATGAGTGTTCACGGAGAAATCCCTCTTCATATCAATCCATTCCGCACAAGCTCAAGAATAACAACTTATGGGCCTATAAACAGATTTTCAACACAGTGGTAGTTTTGATTTGAATAGTAAAACTGTAAAAAAAACATTCATTTGAAAAGGAAATTTAAGTCCTAAGACTGATAGGAATATCAAAATAACCAAAATGTACATCTATTAGGAAAAGGCAGAACATGTAATTTTTTGTTATCAGCAATAAAATCAGCACTTGTGGTATCAGTATTCTTGAAGGAGAAATCTCAGGTGTCAGCACTCCCACATAGCCCGAGTATTAATTCCTCTGACAACTTTTGCAGTGACCCACGAGATCTAACCAATCGACTCAGTGCCTAAAGACTTCAAGTGATATGAATTATCACTAGCACCTTGAGGCGAATGAATAAACCTTTCATCTCTATAACTTCAACATCATAGATGTGTTCGCTTCTGCGTTTATTATAACTTTTTTCCGCCTCAGTCGATACATCTACTGGTGTTCAGTTTACTTTTTTGGTACTATCTGCTATAAAAGGTGGCAGTCTAAATGAACACTAAGTTGTGCACGTTTTTTTTTCTGTCTGAAATCCATTCACCTACCTTTCTTTATCTAAAATACTGAATTTCACATTGATTCATTTTCGCATTTCTGAATTTAAGGTACGATATTTTTATAGATACACAACTGCCAAAAAGTGTTGTGTGCTATTATTATACGGATAAAATAAAATATCTACGTCTAATATCCTACTTGAATAATTTTTTCCACAATTGTTCTATCTGATGAAATTCGGGGTTCAGATAATGCTAACCGTGCTGCTTTGCCAGGAACACCGGCACGCAGGTATAATGTAATCGCAGCACTAAAATCTCCATCTTTTTGACGCAAATCAGCGGCTTTCTCTTCTTGTCCAGTTTCTGTCAACCATAGATGGTAATCTTTTCTGAGTCTTTCCAAACCTGGCCATCCTTTAGCTTCCGCAATCTGACAGAACAATAACAAGAAACGCAAGAAAAGCATTATTAATTATAATTTTATGGTTCATTTAATTTTAATACCTAGGTTAGGTTGACCTAAATAGCCCAATTTCTTCACAAACTAAACTTAATACAACAGCCAAAGCAGTCGTCATCCCGTGTCAATACCAATCTCATGACATCCGACTTCATACTTTAGGTTAACTAGATGATATCCCAAAAGTTTGAACTGCATTTATACATTGATGTCAATCATCAATCATCTACATGGTATACATTTTTGGCTTCATTCTGAAAACAAATGAAAATTACTGTCCAGAAGTGAATACAGAAAACGCATTTTATATGGATACACGTTAAATATTTCTAAACGAAGTTCGAATTATAAGATACAGCTGAATTCACTATTGTCAGAATTGATAAGAAATATAAATTAGATCTAACGCTTTTATAACCAATGCATTCACCTACTTCGTCCGCCAAAAACTAATGCCGTATGACCTCGTAAGTTGAAGTCATATTTAGTTTACTTGCCTTTTCATTAGAATGTTTCATTCTGTTCTAATTTTGTAAAAATACCTGTGTAATATATAAGTCCCAACTAATTTTGTCAGCAGTGTTGGCAATTTTTATTCCATTATAAATATAAATAAAAACAACAGCTGGCTAAACACTAGTGCGTGAACGTATCAGTTTACGTTGCGCTATTTTACACTGAGACATTGGTGTGTCTAAAAGAAAGTCAGAAAGAAAACATTGTGAACATTTGTAACTACCACATAAACTTAGATATAGACTTGGTAGTGTCACTAGCCTAAAAATACTTTGATACAGGTCCCAGTTTCATGAGGAGTATGAACTTTCCGAAGTCTTCCCTTGCCAACAAACGTTAAATCCAGATTTAGAAATTCCTGCTCCAAAAAATTTCGCATCAGAGTACATTACAGTGTCACTTAGCCTTATGACTCCATTGCACATGTAACCAGTCAATTTGGAGTAACACATTTGCGATAAGTTAGTTAAATAGGTTCTTATTTGCACTAAATTACTCTGTAGTATGGTAGGATTTAGGAAATAGTTCTCGAACACGCATATTAATACTGACCAAGAATTGTGAGCAAAAAAGCAATGAAGACTATACATTCATATAAGAAGAGAATTTGGGTATTGTGGTAGAGTATAATTCCATTAGGGAAAAAATTCCACTTAGATAAAGTCTCACAGTGTTAAACTGTAGCACTTACCGATGAAATCAGGAACAAAATCCATTGGTCATAAACATTAATTTATATGAAACAAATAAACTAACCTCGATCGCATCATCCCATTTAAGAAGATCCTTATACATTTTTATAATATCTTCGAAAGAATTTTGTGACAAAAATATATCTTCGGCAACTCTGAATTCTTTTTCAAGAATGGCAACACATACTCGAATATTGGAGTACGATGACTTGTTTCCCATGAACATAGTTCGGTAATGTCGTAAATATCGAGACTTGCTTACACAACCTAGAGCAGCAAAACATTGTTCTGCAATCAGTAAATTTTCTGACTTTAAAGAGGCGAACGCAAGCTTATTCCACATTGATTTTGTTTCTGGGGTGACTTCCAAGCTTTCTAAAAATAAAACAGCTCTTTCAAAGTCACCGTCCTCCATAGCAGTACCAAATTCGATGAGGCCATCATCCAAAGCGTAGGAAACGGAGGTCATACCTTCATTAACTAAAACTTCTGTTTTGCCACTCTGTCGAATGATATCAATAATTTCCCCACCTTTGAGAGGCACTGTTGTCATCCTGTCAATAGAATCGATATTATACCAAATGCAGAGATTATCTCTAGACTGAGCAACAACCACATCACTTTGAGGGACCCATTGCACATAGTAACAAAAGTTCAGCATCATAGATTTTACACCTGCTTCTATGTCAAATAAAATGAGTTGAAGTTTCTTATCCCGAAAAAGTAGCTTTTGTCCAGTTTCGTTTAATTCAATCCAGTCAACTTTCTTATCGTGCGGAATCTGTGCAACAGTTGATCCCGTAGTTAAATCAACAACGGATATTGTCTTAAGGTCCAGCATATAGGCAATTCTTTTACACAGTCCACCTCTACAGGACTTTCTTTCATTTACTCTGACACTTATCAAGTATGGAGTGGTGAATTCTGTTCTTACCGAGCCTAAAATTTCATTTACTCCGTATTCAACTACATGAAGTTCACCAGAGCCAAAAATTATGCAAAACTTGCTGTAGCCAAAGTAGAAACGTTCCTTAAGGCTCTTGTTATTCCAGGGAACTTCACTCAGTCGATTTTCCCGAAGGTCACCGAGCATAATGGTATTGGATGTATGTGCAATCAAGTATCGGTCTTGTCCCATCACTTTAACATCATCTATTTCATAGCCAAAAAACGACTGAAGAACAATCGTGTCTCCCCTCTTTAAATTTCTTACTATAACTTGACTGGGATCAACATAATTCAACTCAAAAATGTTTCTGTATAGCTTTCTCTTCACACAACAGTCGAATATTTCGATACCTCCACAATACGTCCCAACAGTTAGCTTGGATCCGTCTTGCTTCCAAGCCATTGCAGTAACACTGTATATGTTTTCGATCTCCTTCGGCTTACATTCATCCCATACACCCCTTCTAGGACTCCAAGAAAGAACGCGAATTCGGTTGAAGCTGCCGAAGGCTACAGAATGACCAGTTGGGTTGCAAGTAGCAACAGTGAACTCTTTCTCACTGTCATCTCTGCTATAATCAAACTGCTGCAAGACTTTTCCTTCCCGACTATATACATAGATACGCCTATCGCATCCTGCAGCAAGTATAGTAGAACTTGCCCAAGCCAGAGCATATGGAGCGGTGGAATGTATGGCGAACTTGCCTTGCGCATCACCTGAGCCCTCATCGTCAAAAAAGTAGCGAATGATTCTTCCATCCACATGACCGGAAATGAAACCTTTACCAGATACATTCATTGCAAGAGAAACTACGTAGGACTCAGCATTATAGACAGTGGACGACTTGTTTGTCCGCACATTAGCGGCTCTTACTTTGCCATCGGCGAGTCCACAAATAATTGGTTGACCTGGAGGCCAAATGATACATGTCGCAGGCGACTTCTGAGGGAACTTGTTGCAAATCACTTTCTTGTCTTCCCAGGATTCCCCAATTTTATAAACATATACCATATTATCCGATTGAGCGATGGCAAGCTTGGTTGAGTCTTGAGAAAATGCCATCCCTTTGACTTGAAAAGACCTCCCATTTGTTTTGGAATCAACTGTTTTAGTAGAAAAGCGTGCTCGACGCTCCCCATTCTCATCAAAAATTATAACTAGGCGATCACTAGTACAAATGGCTAATTTTCTGTTATTTGGAGACCACGCTATGCACTGCACCTTGGCTTCACATTCTTGAGTTGCTATAAGGGTTTTGAGATGCTTTAGTTGCATTGCAAAATAATCAGTTTGAATTAGTGACACGCTCTGTTACCAAGATACAAATCAACATTCAAGTGCAGGTAATATAGCCTAATACGGTCAGAATAATGCAAAAAAAACAAGAGTAAATAACACTTGCTATCTGCATTTGATAGCAAGTTTAGTCCTGAAACAGTAGTAACTCCGATATATATATATATATATATATATATGCTTGACATCTACTTTACTGCTCTAAATATGCAATTGCTAGGAAATGCTTGTATTATTATTTCAGCACTTATTCCATGACCTATGTACTCTGAAACACTAACATATCATGAAAACCTAAAACATCATGCTTATCGTTGAAAGATGAATGATTGATTGTTTCAAGCGGTTTTTCAAAATGATCGCTAGACTGATGGGACCTGCCTTGTTTAATTCTCTTCGTTGTTTACGTAATACTGTAACACCGAGTTTTGCACGTATTTCATCATTTACAAAGTGTGTATTTGAAAATAAATTACCCACCTATACGTGCTTCAACCAGCCTCGTAGATGGATCAAATGCGGACTGTCCAGGGCTGAGGTGGAAGATAAAGTATTGGCGGTTTGTTCTGCTTATGATAAAATACAGTCGGATAAGGTTCTTATGCTTTGTATTAATATTTAAAGCAGCTAACTTTAGATTCTTCTTTTATGAAAGATCTCGGACTTGATAGTTTGGATCACATAGAAGTGATAATGGAAATTGAGAATGAATTCTGTGAGTCCTTGTGTCATGCTCTCTGTACATAACGAATTTTTTAATTCTTATAACACCTGTCAGACGATATTTATATACTTGGTCAGAAGCATTTTGTGATCAGGCTAAGGTTACGTTTCACTGTATTCAAGCCACTGTATTTGCATTCGTAACTTCCTGATTCAGTAGTAACAGCTCCGTCGGTAAACGCTTTCAAAGAGAAACTGGATCTCTGCAGAGATATATATCGCGAGGATTAACATAGGCAACAAGAGCCTTCTATACTTATAATCTGAATCAGAACCCCATTTTATGCATTACATCGCGCTTCGATTAATCTAGTCAGCATTTTGCAGATTTCTGTAATCAGCGGAAGAGTTCACGTGAAATGTGTCAGAACTTGTTACCTACCTGAGCTTATAAGTGGAAGTTTCGGAGAATGTGATTTTAATAAGTACCTGGGCCGTAAATATTGAGTAGGTTACTTCGATAAGCTGACCTACTGAACCAAACCTGTCAACTCCAACTAGAAGCGAATGCCAACATCATTCCAAGTTTTCTTGAAGTTCAAAATACTGCGTATGAGCTGCATCAATTTGAGTGTCTTTGTAACTTGCTACTTGAGTGTTCGATGTGCCATGTAGAAGCTATTTAAGACTGACAAAATTGAGGATTTTTCACAATAGTAGAGATGTCAAGTTTTAAGCTTCACAACTATTCTTGTACCGTACATGTTCATCAGCTGTAGTGTTATTACACTTTTTCTTACTTGTTGTATCAATACTTTAGGTCGGTACGACGTAAACTTGATCATTCCTACTGAAGTTATATTTGGATTCGTTATTAAACACTGTTGATTAAAAGCGGTTTTTAATCGCAGAGTATTTATTGAAGTTCAACCTCACCTATCTGATCTAAGAAAGACATCACCTATTTCGGTTACTAATTTCGTCCTAAATCAATCGCTGTGTGCCCTGCTCTTCATCAGCCTTTGAGTGCTACTTTTGGAGACTGAATATTTCTGTAGATTCCATCGAAATGGGTGTTTCCCTCCAATTAATATCTGGTTATTTACAGTAAGGTTTATATATCTCAATAACCATCTATAAACTTAACTGATAGTTGCTTGTTTCTCAATACATTTCTGGGGATGTGAACACAAACTCGAATGAATGCATAACAGGAGTTCATAAACTGACTGTTTTTGACGTAGAATTTTACACAGATGTGCAGCATTTCGGGATACCACACTCCAGGTAGCACAAAGCAAGAGAAGAGAGACAAATGATAAACAGAAATGTGAATGAAACAAAAAGAACAGTAATATGGAAGAACAGTAAAGTTTTATTGGATATCACAAAGAGTGAACGCATCTGCGCCATTGAGAACGATTTTGAGCCTTATCACCAGTTGTCTCCAGGCACTGGTTTTGACTATCCTGAAGACCCTAAACAGGAAGTCTACACCCGTTTACGTGGCTTTACGTAACTTTTAGATTTCATTGACTAATGCCGTTTTTTGGTTTGACAACCATTAGCTCCTTTCCAATCTAATCCTATGTCAGTCAACATAGACCCCTATATATGTTGATTTTCCACTCATTCACGAGAACCTACTGTAATATCGTCTCCTAAGATCAAACTTAAGGATGTCAACTTACGTTCTACCGCCTAGTGACTCAGGTTGTTAGGTGTTTTATCAACACACCGACTAAGTGCTGGAGCAAGTAAATGGAAAACGAGAAGTGTTCAGATAAATGGAATCTGATGTGGTTAAAATGTGGCCATATGTTCATCTTACTGTATCATTTATCGGTTGTATATCACTCATCGTTCAGACTAAGTGTTTCGCTCTCCACACCAACTATTGCAATTGCTTTAAAGCTGAGTTTCCTCGTAATATCAAAAGGAAGTTTTTCATTTTGAGTGTTATACCCAAACTGTATGATTAAGTTTCCTTTATTCTCAGCAACCAGTTGGTTATTGACTAGTCATATTGCAGACTTTTTATGTCATAATTACGTTATAATATTATATATATTTATATATTATATTACGTTATTAGTGTTTCGTAATTATCAACCAAGGATAATGCACACAACACTTTGTTGCTCCATCATTTGGTTTAGTATTAGATTTATAAAGATGTAAGAGTGGTCTGGAGAAGACATGCAACCAGCTCTACATATTACTTCAAAGTATATTTGAAATTTGTAGTAAATGGCCACCTGCCTTTAGGATATAGCCCTTTTCCTCGGAGTGGGAGTTTATCGCATAATAAAAAGAGCCATGTTACCCTGATCCTATTAATGCATTTACTTATATATAACCCCATATGTGTGTATTATAAAGGGTGGCAAATTGAACTGTTGCAATTTTTACTAGTTTCTACGCTGAGGACTCAGTTATACTGTTGCGGTGCCAGTTAATACAGATGATAGACTATCTAGTTGAATGAGTTGTTTTTCTTCTTAATCTCTGACTTTAAATTTGAAGATATTCCTCTGTCAAAAAACTGGTAATATGCAAGCAAAAGTAAATTACTCATCTTCATCCATCAAACTTGTGTACATTTTGGCTACATCACTCGATAAAATAATTTTAGAGCACTATGAGTGATGAATGTCCAACAAATCTTTCGTGTGACCTACTCGTCTGCGATAGCTTACTGCCTGTGTGCAAACTTTAAAGAAATTTCTCTTGAAAGATTTAAGTAAACACAATTAACATAGTACTACCACAGTGGTCACAGCCGCTAATGACCATGTGAGATCGCATATAATGGAAAGTGCAAAAGAATAAAAACAATATGATATACGGTTATAGTGTCATAAAAGATATGACGCAACTGTTGGAATGTCTCTTTACCTCTAGGGTACACATGCGATACGAATGCACCTGTTCAACTGTTGTCAATTCTGAGTTCTGTCATCTAAAGATTAAGAGGTTCTATAGCGACATGGATCTTAATCTGGCAGACCTCATTGCTTACGCTAGTAGTCAGAGAAACCATACACTTATGTCATGTTTTAGTTTTGGTATCCTTGATCTTCCAATATATTTCCAAATACACTAATACTTGGGAATCTACGCCCTCCATATTCCTCGTGTAGTGGGTTCATCACACAGGCATGTAGATATTGTCTGATTATATTAGCATAGCAAGAAAGCTAAAGTGTGTATGTGGCAAAATAAATGTATCGAATATCATGGTGAATTTTCCAAAAGAACTTATTTGGCGGTATTTTTATTACAAAATTTCTGTCAGTGTTTCAGTGACAAAAATACGCCAGAAATTATACTTGCATATACCCATTTTTCTGACCTTCAAAAACTGCTAGGCGCCTTGATGCACACAGCTTATGCACTGTTTATGATGCTATGATTTCCACAACTCCCCATTTGAATAATTAGTTTGAAGAGTAATGTTTTATTACATGCATTAATAATTTCATGTTTTCAATTTCTATTTAGGGTTTGAAATAAGTGATGTGGATGCCGAGAAAATGCATACTCCCCGTGATATTGTAGAACATGTGTGCCAATCCATGATGAAAGTGCAACCTGTCACCTGAAATGTTGATTCAGTGTCGTGAGCTTTCGTTTCATCTTAAAATTTTAGACTGTAGATATAAGCCCTTAAAGGTTGTTATTGTTATCTGTAAATGTGTCCGACTTTTTAATTTTATTTGGATGGCTAAAATCGCTACCCCAAATAAATCTATAAATTGGAAACCCCGGTATTTTATTCGTATAATTTTAGAAGCTTTCAGGAACCTAAGTTTAATGCTGCGTGGTGTACGTTTACTTAATAGACCAAGATATCAACGGAAACAAAAGAGTCGATACGTTTCCTCCATTGTGAACGTACTTATGTCTCAAAAACCACAAGTCATTGATCCTCTGCATCCTAGTGACTACAGCCAGCACCTATGTGCAAAACCTAGGTCATCAGAAACACATCGATGATTGGTCTGAACATAAATAACTTTTACGAGCATATCCTACTTTAGCCAACATTACTGTTGGTGACTGGTCGCGCGTGACAGATCCTAGCCCAATCATCTAATTAACTTTCCTCCACATCAATTACTAGCACTGCCTTGCATACGCTTCAGGTTTATATGAGCTACGAACGAAAACGTCTATTATCAGTTTCAAGTTTTATGTCTCCACTACGTATACTCACTGATACGATGATTAGATCCAGGCATTCACAGTAGTGGACACATTGCTTTCAAGCAGCAAATAGAACTTCCCTGATGTATGCACAAGGTCACTTTGATCCAAACACAGTTTATTTCAGAAGGTTACGTGGAGTGAGATCAAACTGTATGTGGCCTTGTTTCGATCACAGACATACTTAGTCGGTCAACCGCTATCTCAGTCAGCCACTGAGTAGATAAGAACACTAGGCTTTAAAGTCCAATAATGTAATGTTAACTTCATAAATTGAGAACACTAACCAAGTAAACTGAACAGCCACAATTAGTTATTGAATATACTTCCGTATACTGAGACAGTTTAAGCTAATGTATCATTCCGGGTTTGTCGACGAGACCTGAAGTTGAACGCCCGTACCTAATGTTGGCAAGTAGGTTTTAACGAAAGCAGACGTGATTCTTGACTGACCTTAGTAACTAGTAATAGTTATTCAAAGCTGGAAGTTAAGAGAACTATACTGAATGCAGTACTAGTGTGGAAAAGGAGAGGATAGACGAATATGAGGGGCGTATAGACAAACAGGATTTTGGTTTCGTCGAAACGATGTGGGTAGTTGCTACCATCCGGCTGCCTACAATGAGATTCGGTATCCTTTTAAAGACTAAGAAAACGGGAGATTTGTTTTGTCTCCCTTCAAACGGCGAGATTCGTTTGAGACTGGTCAGCTTGTTACTAATTTTTCATTCCGTGTTTTTGGATCTGTCCAAAAAGAACTTTAATTCCTGTAACGATAAGTCGTAAGGAAAATAACAGGAGTTAAGATGTCGCTCGTCAGTTTCAGCACTCGTTTTTCACCCGGTGAGTTGCGGATTCAAATCCTCCCTGACCTGTTTTAGTCTAACAACGGATTATTGTCATTAACCACACATCGTCCTGGCTTGGTACATGAGGATCTTGCGATATTTAAGGATATATGTTGATTTGTAATATTTACGCAGTCTTTCTTAACATTCAACAAATCACCATTGTTCCTCTGATCTGCTCCACACTCAGTGTCCCATTGTTCACAATCTTACAACTGAGAAATAGCTGCCCTATAATTTTGTCCTCCTATTCAACACGATAAATGCAGAGTAATTTGTATTCATTTTTTTCTTTGGGAGTCCTTTCATAAAAAGTCAAAAAACCTGCATTCGTATTCCAAAATCTGATTTAATTTTTCTGAAAACAGTAGAAACTTCCGATAAGGACAATGCTTTAATAGACCTATCAGAATAGTGAGACGCTAAAAGGAACACTGAGAAACAATTTCACTGACCTACAAACATGCTGAGTTCACCCGGAATCCAACACCTACCAGATATATCCACCGATTACCGTCTTTAACCGAAAACAAAGCAGTGAGGCATTCCCCCACCCACAGAATACAAATTGTGTCAAAGCTCAAAGTCAGTTGCATGTTTCAGTGTAGGTTTTATCACGAGCTAACACCCGTTGGAGCATAAATCAAAATCGGGGAGCACTAGGCAACTGTTTTGTTCTAGTTTAGGACTCTTCAATGACCCCACCATGAATTTGTGCGTCGGTGGCACAGTGGTTAGGACTCTCGCCAAACATGATCCGGGGTTCGATCCCCTGTCGGCACACATCTGATATCTGTGGTCGGCCTGCGAAATTTGGGCTACCGTTATCACATGCTGAAAATACCATACCTGTACCAAAAAATACGGTGTGAAATCAAGCTGCAATCAAAAAAATAATCAAACCGTAGGACATTCTGGTCACAGGGCTAGGCTGTTGGTCTTATAACCGCCCGATAGGTGTTCAGTGACTTGCCTATTCGCCATACTGCGTTTCTGTCAACCATCCACCTCACCTTGACATCGAGTAACTCATCATCCATTACTTATGAGAACTTTGGATACCCGTACTACTGTCATTAATGACCTGAATATATATATATATATATATTCAATTTTTTTATGAATCAGCGTTATTATTTACTAAGTCTTTTCATGGGCTGATTGGTGATCTATTTTTTTTTAATTAAACTAATTAATGGGAATCATCTTTTGATTATGAGGTCTTCTAGTTGAATTACTTGAGACTTTTACACGCATTCATGAATATTCTCTGCTGGAGAAATTCAAACTAGAACGAAACAGCTCTCCTGTGGTGTTAATTGACTGTGTGACTTGCCTCGGTTCGTGGTAAAATCCCTGAACAAATCTATAGTTTGAATTATATATCTGCTGACAACAGTGGTAACATGTGATCAAGAGACAAGAATTTTTCATATAAATAACTGTACTTATTTCTGCATGTTTTATTATTAATAAAATAGCATGATATGAAATGTCTTTAAGTCACAGAGCTACATATCACCGTTGAAATAGGTATTTTGAGAATTCACAGATGCTTCGATTTCCCTTACAGTCTGCCTTTAGTACAATAAAGACACTCGAAAACGGTGTTATCTGGAACTCAGCTGAACACTTCCATAAATTAACATCGCCACCCTTTCATACCACCCATACTTATTATTTTGTAAGATATATTCTTTCTTATAAGGTAGTTAATGTAACCATACAAATACGTGAAACATCCCATCAGGTATAACTGCAGTACATAGATACCCAACCTACTTCGTATACTCATACTGAGAAACTGTTAGTTTTGTTATGTAGTGATAATTCCTGATGCATCGTACGAATCTGTCTAGGAAAGGTCCGCACAATATTCTGGACAGCATTTTAGGAAGCGGAAGTGACTAAAACATTTAATATTAGTTGCTACGTTCTTAAGGTCTATGAAAAGACTGAGTAATTATAATTCTAACAGGAATTGGTGAATTATTTTCAGTAACCTCGGAACCTACTGTTATACATTTATGAACAAAAGTCCATGTTAGGCATGCAAATATCCCAATAAAACGTGTAATCAACAGAGCAGTATCACATCATGATACTAAGTTTTTAATGACTTTGATTACTCGCATATTTTTAACGGTCTAATACTGAGTTCTACCGTGAAGAAGCGCGTAACCGCAACAAACAAAAGGGTGGAGACAACGACAGTAATTTACCACTAGAATACGAAAAGGTGGAAAAAGCTCTTAACAATCAAGACATTTGTTACTTATTGAAACAAAAACTTTTACAATGCAATAAAATTAGCTCCGAAATAAGTCTTTCGAAATGTAATTACCGATAATTTAATGTAAAATTGCGCAGGAACTTTTATATAAGAAATAAAATAAAAACAGGTTAAGGAAATCATAACAAACTTTTCCACAACATCCGTAGAGTACATGGTCTGAATTTTTGCAAAAAATCACATTGTTGAAGAAACTCTTTAATAACCAGAGGCCAATACACTTTTTATCCTCTTAGTGCTGCTACTTTCATATGTATTGGAAGGTTCAACCTTTTAGAAGCAACTTACAAGCCAAACTTCTCATTTAAATGTGAAATGAACTTAACTTGATGTGATAACGAAATTGATTCAGCATAAACACACTAATGTAGAATTAATAGTCCCAAACTACTTGTGTATTAAAGCGATCTACACTACATTGCAATAAGTTGTCGTAAAATATTAAAGATCGGTGCTTAAAATGATTTTTCGTGTGATCGTGGCTATAAATCTTTTACGACTCTTAGCATCGATGTAGGACTTAACAGTAATACCGCGCCTCAAATCTGCACATCACACAGAGGGTAATAACATTGAGGATGATGCAATCGCAAATCCCTATAAGACAAAAGACCAAATTAATTTCCAACTAAAGTGTTATTATATAAGAAGATTAGACATGTATGTACTTTCACCAGTGATCGGTTTTCAGTCAAATCACCTGACTCCCGACCGAAAGCTGCTACCTTGAAGTGGTGGTCGGGCTTGAACACCGCAATGTCCCGACAAGCTATACTGGCTGAGACTTATGTCTCTTGAGGTCCTACCATGCCAGAAAGGTTGTTTGGATAGCGGTTAAACAAAAAGCAGCTACCCAATCCAATACCATGATGCAAACAAATTCACAAAATTTCATGCCGGATCGGTCGGGGCCCGGATTAACAACGACCGCGCTTCCTGCTGCCGTGTCACAGGGCAGGAGTGATAAATATGCTACTGAGACACACCAAACAAAAAGAACAAACAAAAACAGGCCGCGTGTGACCGGCCTCAAGCAGTTGTCCCCTGGGCTCTGCGGTCACGCAACCAACTTCCACGGTGTGGGCAGCCGGGAAGTAACAATCGCCCTCACAATCCGAAATGCACACAAACCTCTCTAATCCGCACTCATCTTCATCTTGCCTTCCTTCCACTGATGC